CTGTGCCTTCTCCCATTGAATCTGGGTCTGTTACCCCCTGGCACTTCACCAATCAGAAAGCTTTGCTGAACTTCAAATGTTTATTAGGGCTTCATTATAAAGTCATGGTTGCTTGGATCATTATCTATGTGCCTGAACTCAATCTCCAGCTCCTTGGTTTCTCTACCCAGGTCAAGTTGGCACCAATCCTCAACCTTTCGTGACTGGCTCCCATCCCGAGTCACCTTGTCTCCTAGCTAGTAACCTAGCATGGGGGGTGGGGGCCTTTAAGAAACTGTCAATAGCAAAGACACTCTTCATTCAAGATTTAGAATCTATCTCCAAGGAACCAGGAACAAAGGACAATAATGGTGCATAAGACATAGTGTATCTTTCAAATGATGGTATATTAGTCATTATAAAATAATGATAATTTTAAAACAACCTTTTTAGGTTCCATGGTATGGCTAAGTTGACATATGAAGTGTTTTGAGCTCTCTTCTACATAAATTATTTTAGTTGCATAAAATAATGTTTGTCTAAAAGATGATTGATTTTGTAATGAAACTGATACAAGTTCAAAGGCTGATGTCATTATGTACTTGTTGTGTGACTCTGAATCTTGTGACTCTCCCAACCTCATTTTTCTTATTTGCAAAATAGCCATGGTTTTGTAATATTTTAAATACCTTCAGCAGTGTCAAGTGTAAGTATCTGTATTATCATTTGAATTTTTCATGGTATTGTTGATTTAACATTTGCAGATTTTATCTTTGTAGGTGGAAAGGAATTGAGTTTTAATCCGAATTTGATGTAGGAATGCCACAGTGTTTTTTTCTTAGGTCTTTGATACTATGTGTTACTCCATGTGTTGAATTTTAATAGTTTGTGCTTTTGCTTTCTACCATTACTAGAACGTTTGTGTGTGTGTGTGTGTGTGTGTGTGTGTGTGTGTGTGTGTGTGTGGTGCTGGGCATTGAATTCAGGGCCTTGCACATACTAGGCAAATACTGTACCTCTGATCTACATCCTCAATACATAATTAGAACTCTTGTGAAATAATACTTAGAATGAAATTTACTCTTGCATGTATCTTAACTATGTGCACTGTTCAGAATAAGAAATACAGAAAAAATATTACTGTTGGCTAAGAGAGACAATCTGCTGTTGATACATTGCTGCATTGTGTGGCTGTTTTTTTTCATTGTAGGTGGACCTAATACCTTTATTTTATTTATTTATTTTTATGTGGTGCTGAGGATGGAACTCAGGGCCTCATATGTGTGAGGCAAGCACTCTGATATTGAGTCACAATCCCAGCCTGGGTGGTGGTTTGATGAGAAATAATCATATGCACCTATATTCAGATTTACATGGACTATAGTATTGCCAACCTAAAGCAGTACTACAAGTAGTTCAACTGCTAAATGTAACTTTTTGTAGCTAGCATTACTATTTTCTACATTATTCTATTTTGCAGTATATAATTTCTCTTTGATTTGTGAGAAACTTAACAAATAGTAAATTACTAGCCTGTTAAACTTTTGGAACTTTGAAACAAAAAATTAAGCTGCAAGCATATTATAGCATTTCCCTCCCTGATACTCTACTCTCTTAAGCACATGAGTTTAATGAGTAAATGGAATTAATCTTTCATTTTACTTGTTTTTGTACTTCTTTAAACGTTACTTATTTACTCATTTATGCTAAATTAATGAGAGCAGATATGGAGATCTCTTTTTTTTTTCTGCCATCAGGGAAAATACTTTAAGTACAAATATGTAAAGAGGATTTCCAAAATTTTTAAAAAAATATTTTTAGTTATAGTTGAACACAAAAAACTTTATTTTATTTATTTATTTTTTTATGTTGTGCTGAGAATCAAACCTAGTGCCTCACACGTGCTAGGCAAGTGCTCTACCACTGAGCCACAACCCCAGCCTGAGGATTTCCAAAATTTACAGAGCCTTTTTTAGGCCAGGGAATTTGATCATGTAAAATATATAAATTAGTGTTTCCATTTCTCTAAGTTTTCTAGAGAAAAATAGGAAAATTGAACAAGCAAGAGTTAGCTTGAAAGTATAATTATTTCTTGGTCCTGAATATATGATCATTATATGGAATTATAGTATTTAAACACATTGAACTCTATATCCTGCAATAGTAAGGTTTAGGTGGAATTTGTATTATATTAGGAAGATGTCTTGAATATTCCAGAGATTCTTTTTCTATTTCTTTTTTTTTGTCTTTTGGTAGTGGCAATCAAACCCAGGGCCTGACACATGCTAGGGAGGCATTCTACCACTGAGTTACATCTCTAGACATTTTTTATTTTGAGACAGGAGTCTTGCTAAATTGCCCAGGTTGATCTTGAACTTGTGATCCTCCTGCCTTAGACTCTTGAGTAGGCTGGGATATTAGTTATGTGCCACCATGCCTATTTAGGTGACCTGAGTTCTAAAAGAGGGTGATAGTCATGTGGCCCAGTTTGATTCCTACAGGAGTCTCTTCCAGCATATTTCTGATAGATGGCTCGCTAGTTCTGTGAGCAATTTTGAAAGACAGTGTGTTTGACTATTGAGCATCACTAGTTATTAAATCCTTCCTCATGTTTTAGTTCAAATCTACCTATGCAACTTCTCATTGTTACTCGTCCCATTCATAGGAGCAATATACAATAAGTTTTATTCTTCTTGACATATAATGATATAGCTCTTTGCACCTTCAAACTCTGTTTCCAACTTCATCTTCCTTCAGAAGATGGTTAGTTTACTCTGCCAATATGCAGAATATTAAAAGTTCCTCTTAAAAATAAAAAAAAAATCAAAATAAAAAAATTTTTTTTTCAGCAAAATTCTACCATTGTGCTGGGAAAATGCCTCATGAATGCCATAGACCCTTGTGAATTTTTGTTTCCCTTTGGCTAGGGATTAATTGATGTTTTTTCACTGAAAAGCTTGTTTTCACTTTCATTAAATTCAATATTTATTGATCTTTATGAACTTTATTTCCCTTTGGCCTTTGGTTCTTTGTAGTAGTTTGTTCTGAGTTTATTTTACAGTTTCTGGAACGTAAAAGACTGAAGTGAGTAGCAGACGGTTGTTTTATTTTTGTCATTTTTGCACATCAGCTTGATTTCTATTCCTCAGTTACCGTTTTGATGCAGTTGTTTACATGCAGCTTTGTAGTGTTCCTGTTTCATTACATTTTACTTAAGTATTATTGCCAACAGCATTTTACAGTTTTTTAACTATCAAGTACAGATGTCCTTTTTATCTTTTTGCCATGATGAGAAGTATATAATTTTCTTCTAATCAACATAATGCAGTTCTAATCCTAAACTTTTTTAGAATTATAATTGTCAAGTTTTTTTAGAATTATAATTGTCAAGTTATTGTGAATACTTTGTACATGTAAGATATTTTACTATATACTTTGTTATGCAATATCTTGTTGTAACTAAATAAATTTAACAACACCTCTTTGAGTTAGATTTTTATTGCTTATTCCCATTTTACTGATGAGGAGTTTAAAACAAGAAGGGTAAATAATTATACAGTGGCATGCAGTTGCTAAATGGTAGACTCAGATCCAGGCAGTCTAACTTGTAGCCCATATTCTTAGCCCCATGGAAGCAGTAATTATAGTTTGCTTTCTGATAAAAACATTGTGAGAGATCTGTCTTGCTGTTTTGACTGGTATAGCTAGCACCTTCTGTCCACATACAAGTTGATCTTTTTGTTTTAAAATATTTTATGAGTATTTTATTTATTTATTTATAAGTCTGTTTGATTTAAAATACAGTGTCACCAGGGGCCATAAATGATTACCAGACATTTTGGTTTTATCTTAACTTTTAGTGAGGATGATTCTGGGGAATTTATTGGGCTATTCATTCACCTATGAAGCTGGTAGAATTATATAGCATCTGAAACAGTAGATAACCCTAAAGTCTACACCTATGGTTGCTTGTGTAACTTATATGAAGACAGTTATGGCCAAGTATTACCTTTTACATATAATAATTTTACTTCCTTTAAAATTCACCAAAGATTTTCAAAGCATTCTGCAGGGTCTCAGAGATTCTTTAAAGGCGTATTTAAGGTCAAAACTGTTTTATAATAAGATATTAATTTTCTTTTTCATTTGCAGTCCCTCATATGGAACTTTCTAGAGACTGGGACATGATATCTCAACAGAGTGAAGACAGAAGCAGATTTGAGAATTCAGCTTTCTTATATTAAACCAGTGGTTAAAGTTACAAAAATATAACTCACTAAACATTTTTATTTTTGAAAAAATTTTTAAAAAATTTAAAAATATTTTTGTTAATGAGCTTATTATTTTAAGGCAAATGAATAAATCTTTGGAAATTCTTAATTTTAATTTCTAATATATTAAAAATCTTTGGAGTATGCTCCATGTAAACAGAAGCCCTTTGAGGTTCTCAAAGAATGTAAAGAGACTGAGCTGGGTGTGGTGGTACACTCCTGTAATCCCAGCAATTTGGGAGGATACAGCAGGAGGCTCACAAGTTAAAAGCCAGCCTTATTAACTTAGTGAGGCCCTCAGCAACTTAGTAAGACTCTGTCTCAAAATAAAATATAAAGAGGGGAAGGGATGTGATTCACTGTTTAAGGGCCCCTGGGTCCAATTCCTGGTACCTACCACCTCACCCCCCCCAAAAAAAAAAAGACTAAAACTTTGAAAACCTCTTGTTTAGTAGTTGTATCATATGATACTGAAGGAGATCTTGACCTAGAAATTTAAAAAAAAACAAGTGTATCAAAAGATTAAAAAACTAAATGAAGGGCTAGAAATATAGCTTAGTTAGAAGAGTGCTTACCTCACATTCCCAAGGCCCTGGGTTCAGTCCCCAGCACCACACATACACACACACACACACACACACACACACACACACACACACACACCCACCAAAACAAAAGAAAAAAATCCCCAAACCTAAATGAAGCATTTTTATTACTTACCAAATGTTTTTCTTTTTATTGTGTGAGCAGGAGACTGGAACCCACTGAACGACCTCTTCAGATCGTTTATGAGTACTTATCCAGGCTGGGATTTGAGGATCCTGTACGCATACAGGAGGAAGCTACAAATCCTGACCTTGGCTGTATGATTCGATTTTATGGTGGTAAGAGTTTATCAGTGGCTTTGTGAATATCTTCACTACTTTTAAGTTGATTATTTATGCCTCCATCTGCCTTCAGCTTTTTTTTTTTTTTAAAGAGAGTGAGAGAGGAGAGGGAGAGAGAGAGAGAGAGAATTTTTAATATTTATTTTTTAATTCTCGGCGGACACAACAGCTTTGTTGGTATGTGGTGCTGAGGATCGAACCCGGGTTGCACGCATGCCAGGCGAGCACGCTTCCTCTTGAGCCACATCCCCAGCCCCTGCCTTCAGCTTTTTAAAAATATTTTCTCAGAATCTATTTTTGACCTAGGTAACTAATGTAGTTAAAGACCATCAAGCTACAAGAAAAACAAAGGGTTAGGGAGTGAGGGAAGATTCTAAAGTATTAGCAGTAGTATCTTTCCTTTATATTTTTTTGTTCTTTTATTTTGTTAATTTATTAGTTATTTTTAAACCTTTGCCAGAATTGTGATTGAATCATTCTTTTAGTATGAGTTATGTTTTCAAGCTCCTGGTAAAGTCTGTGAACTTTTGGATAGCTCAATAGTGTTGAAAAGTAGTGATTATCATATATGACTTGTCATTTGATGAATGTCAAATTTGTATATGGTGAATTCATGGGTTTTAAATCATGGATTTTTTTGGGGGGGTGGGGTGGGGTACTGTGAATTGAAATCAAGGGTACTCAACTACTGAGCCACATCCCCAGCCCTGTTTTGTATTTTACTTAGAGACAGGGTCTCACTGAGTAGCTTAGTGCCTCACCTTTGCTGAGGCTGACTTTGAACTCAGTGATCTCCTGCCTCAGCTTCTGGAGTCACTGGGATTAGAGGCGTGTGCCACCACTCCTGGCTTAAATTGTGGATTTTTAACTTTGTCTTCTCTTCTGTACATTCCCTACCTGCCAGACTGTTTTTCCATTTTGTATATATAAACGTGTGTATCTTATTTTAATAAGTCTTAATTTTATTGATAAATATATATTTATAAATATAAATTTATATATATATATTTATATATATATATTTTAAAATACTGGAGATTAAACATAGGGATGCTTATCCACTGAGCCACATCTCCAGCCCTTTTAAAAAATTTTTATTTTGAGTCAGGCTCTTGCTAAGTTGCTTAGGACCTCACTAAGTTGCTGAGGCTAGTCTCAAACTTGCGACCTCCTGCCTCAGCCTCATGAGTCATTGGAATTACAGGTGTGTACCACCTCACTTGGCTAAAATGAGATACTTTTACGAATGTATCTAATTCTATATAACCTACTAATACTACCACTAAGTAAAATTCATTGAGCACTAACTGTATACCTTTATACTAATGAATTGTCTAAATTACTCATTATAGTCATGCTGTAGTAGCTACTAAACTGTTTTACAGATGAGAAAACTGAAGTAGAGTTTAACTATGCTCAATGTCATATTATTAGCAGGTGACAGACACATTTGACCCATAACAGTTTTGAATTTATATGACTCACTTACCAAACAAGCCAGGATAGTTAATTTATTAATGTATATAATCATGTGCTAAGATTCTTTGTTCTCCCCCTCCTTTTTTGATTTAGTTTTTTCTGTATACTTATTTTTGGTTTTGATTGCTGTTACTGGGGATTGAACCCAGGGCCGCTTAACCACTGAGCCACATCCTCAGCCCTTTTTATTTGTTATTTTGAGACAGAGTCTCACTAAATTGCTGAGGCTGGCTTTAAACTTGTGATCCTCTTGCCTCAGCCTCCTGAGCCACTGGGATTACAGGCACATGCCATTGTGCCTAGCTCTGTATGCTTTTTATTTATTTATTTTTAGATGTTGATGGACCTTTATTTTATTTGCTTATTTATATGCAGTGCTGAGAATTGAACCCAGTGCCTCACAAGTGTGAAGCAAGTGCTGTACTGCTGAGCTACAACTGCAGCCCCTAGCTCTGTATAACTTTATAAAAAAATATTTATTTTTTAGTTTTAGGTGGACACAATATCTTTATTTTGTTTTTATGTGGTGCTGAGAATCGAACCCAGTGCCTCACGCGTGCTAGGCGAGCGCACTACCACTTGTGCCACATCTCCAGCTCCCTAACTTTTTATTTTCCCTAACTTTTTGATATAACTCTTAAACATATGATAAGTCAGTTTTATTTAATGCACTTCATATTTTACTTACAATTTTTGTCATAGTGCTGTTATATGTTATAGTTGATTAAAAGTTGGTTTAATTTTATTATATTACCATTAATTTCTGTCTTTGGGAATGGTCTGTGCTCTGTGGTCTTGCTTTTGTTTTGTTTTGTTTTTTTCCTTTTGCTTCTGTGTAATGATCATTCTGGCAAGATTTTTTTCCTTTTCTCATTTACCTTTGGCTGCAGCATATTAATATTGATCTGTAGCATATTAATTTTTTTTCTTTCTTTTTGGTTAAATATTCTGATTTGCAGCTATCCTGTATCCAGCATTTGAGAATTAAAAACCCAAGGAAGAAATAAGTTTTGAAGTTAATTCTGGAAATAAATCCATGTTAAGGATTATTATGATTAAAGTCTAAGTAATTTTTGTATTTCTTAATTCTTAGAGCATTATAAGATCTTAAGCACTATAAGATCTAGGGCCTGGCTAAGTTACTGAGGAAGTTATTTCACTTATCACTTATGTAATATAATACTATGCAGTCCTAAAAAGATTGGGGTTGATTTTTTTCTTTAAACTGAAGTGGAGTAGTTTTCATTATCAATTAAGTTAAAAAGAAAGGTACAGAAGAGTATATAGAATATGTTACTTATTATCTAACAAAGATAAGAAAATATACATTCACAGACATATATAGTTCTTAAATTCTTGAGTGATATGAGAGTGAATGAACAAATGAAGGAGTAAATTCCAGAAGAGGGAAATATAAATAAAATCTTTTGATAGTTTATGGGGGGAAATGGTTGCTAGGTTAAAGTTAAATCTGAGAGAATTCATTAAGATTAATTTGAGGAGTGTACCTACTTAATGTCATATAACTTGGTTGAAATAAAAATCAACTTGGAATAGTTATATGCTCATTATCTGTGATTGAACCTGAGTTCTTCATTATACATTTTTATTCTAGAATGGAAGTTAGGCCTTAACCAGTAGACTACTTTTTACTCATTGTTGCATTCAGGTGTAGTGGTCAACAATTGGCTTTGGTGCCACTAGTTTTCTGCCATCACTAGATAAATTAAAGGATGACCGAATTTTAATATACCCTTAAGAGGATATCCTAGTGGAGTCTATGAGAATACCAGTTTATAGTACTTATATTTGTTAGTGGTATTGATAGGGGGTGTTAGGGAACTTCCTATTAACTTAAGAGAAGTTAGTATAATTTGAATGAGAAAATTTCAGAAAAGAGTTTTTTAGCCAGGTATAATTGGTGGCTAATGCCTGTAATCTCAACAACTTGGGAGGCTAAGGCAGAAGAATTGCAAGTTTCAGGCCAACTTAGTGAGACACTGTCTCAAAAAATAAGTAAACAAATAAACAGGGCTGGGGTTGTAGCTCAATGGTAGAGCACTACTGGACTCAGTTACCAGTATTGAGGCGAAAAGAAAGAAAGGAAAGTGGTTTGTAAAGTTAATTATTCTTAAAAATTGGCAGTATAGGGGCTAGGGATGTGGCTCAAGCGGTAGCGCGCTCGCCTGGCATGCATGCGACCCGGGTTCGATCCTCAGCACCACATACCAACAAAGATGTTGTGTCCACCGAGAACTAAAAAATAAATATTAAAAATTAAAAAAAAAAATTGGCAATATATGCATCTGGTACTTAAACCAAAAGATAGGTAGGTGGGTAGACAGGTGAGTCTATAGGATATCTGTAGGCCTGTAACAAATTGCCTCAAAGCTTAGTGATTTGAAATAATAATGAATATTTGTTTTCTAGTGCCTGTCGACTGGAAATCTAGGAGCGGTTTAGCTGGTGCTTGGGTCTGATGAGATTATACTCATCTGAACATTTTAGCGGGACTAGAAGATTCATGAATTTCAATATGACTCACTCAGGGTTGTTACAGATCTCAGTCCTTGCCAGTTTCTTCTTATGTAGACTTCTTCATAGGGCTGTCTGTTTTCACAGCCTCCAGTGATGAGACATATACATATACCTATGAATGCATGTGTACACATGGAGGACTCTGTCTTTTTGAAAAGTCACCAAGATGTGGACTACTTTGTTTATTAAGAAGTGAGTCACTAAATACAGCCCCACTATATAGAGGGAAGGGGGAATTAGACTCTTTTTTTTTTTTTTTTTTTGGTACCAGGGATTGAACCCAGGGGCACTTAACTACTGAGCAACATCCCCAGTCCCTTTTTGTATTTGATTTAGAAGCAGGGTCTCACTGAATTTCTTAGAGCCTTGCTAAGCTTATGAGGCTGCCTTTGAATTTGGAATCTCCTGCCTTGGCCTCTTAACCACTGTGTCTGGCTATACTCTAACTTTTGAGTGAAAATATCAAAGAATGTGTGTGATCAAAGCTTAAAATCATTGCAAAAAGTATTCCTTCCCTTTCACCTTTCTCCTCATGTTTTTCAGTTCCTGAACCCAGAGAAAACCGCAGTTAACAAAAGGAAAAATGTTTTTAAAGTATTCTTTTTGAAGCAAATAGCTTAGTAATCAGCTTTAAATGTTTTGTGTAGAGACTCCTGATGAGTCAGCTTAGTTAGAATACAGTGTTAATGAGGCCAAGGTCATGAGGGCCTAAGTTCAAACTCATTTATATTGTATTCTCTGGTAATAAAAAGTACTCAGTATCCCAGGCAGCCTTTAGGCAAATGCCAGTTATCAGTTGGACTGAAGAGGGAGTTCTGGGGCAGAAGGGCATAGAGTGGTACTCCGTGAAATTCATAACAGAAAGTCTAGTGAGTTGCTTAGCTCCTCGCTTTTTGCTGAGGCTGGCTTTGAACTTGTGATCCTCCTGTCTCAGCCTCCTGAGCTTCTGTGATTACAGGAGTGTGCCACAGTGCCTGGCCCTGCCTGAATGTTTCTTTACCATGTTCTCTGCACACATTGTTTAAACAGTTTTGTTCAAAGAGTATAAATACAAAGAAGGCAGACACAGAAGAATCACATAGTATCTTTCTATATGTTTAAAGTTCAAAACCAGGTAAATCTCCTCAGCCTTTTTGTTGAGAGATGTGTGGCAGTACTACTGTCTTTCTGTCCAAATCTGTTCTCTCTTTCTTCCTTGGTAATAGAATTGTAGTTGGCATATTATTGCCTAGTTCCACCTCATCTCCCAACCTGTCTCCAATTAGTTGTGCACCTGTGACAACATTTTCTTCATGGCATGGAGTGGAATTGATGAGTGCCACTTCTGTACCTGATCTCTAAAACTTCCAATGAGTGCTTCTCAGTGTTCTTTTCTGGGGGCTAGGATGGCAGTGATTCAAGTAGTATTTGAAATACAGTGTTGAAACTGGCAGAGCCACCATCAACCTGAGTTTCTAAATGACAGTATTGACTTCTGGTTATTCAGAATTCCCAACTGGACAGAAATAACTGCCTGTTGTGTTTGAGCCATCATATATTGTTTGCCATAGCAATTTAATATAATGTCATAATATAGGTTGTATACACAAAGACAAAAAACATAAAGAGAGCAAAGAAAGGATTATTATAAAAGTCAGGGGATTAGCTAGTTTCTAGGGTTCAGGGGGAAGACATTATTCTTACAAGTAGAATTTTTGAGTCATTACATACCCAAATTTAGTCAAAATTTTAAATTTCGACTAAATATTCCAAATTATACAGCAAGGCAATGCCAGTATGTACTTTTTGGCATTCTCATTTGAGAGTACTCATTTCCCTTTGCCAATATCAGGTATCATTGTTAAAATTAGTCTTTGCCCCAAATTGCAAAATATACTCTCTCATGTTGACTTGTATATTTTAAACTTCTTTGTTAAAATGTAGGGGTAATATAGAAAATGCCCTACCATCTGAATGCAATTACTTTTTGTATTATATATTTCTTAGTCTTATTTTATGTGCATATTTTCACATTTAGAATTATTGTGTCCATACATTTTTCCCCCTTTTAATACATTGTGTTTGCTGAGTGTAGTGTCACACATTTATAATCCTAGCTACTTGGAAGATTGAGGTAGGAAGATTGCAAGTTCCAGGCTGATCTGTTTCAAAATAAAATAAGGAAAAAGGGCTGGGGATGTAGCTTAGTGGTATAGCACCTGCTTAGCATGCATAAGGCCCTGAAGTTCAAACCCCAGCACCCCAAAACAAACTAAAAACAATTATTCAAGTAAAATATAAATATAATATTGCTATCTGTAGCATTTTAATTTCTTATAATCACCTTCCAAACCCACTAACTGCTTTGTAGGTAACTACTACTATCGATTTGGCATGTATCACTTCAGGATTTTCTAACACTTTTTTCTATATAATATACATTTATAGAAATGCATGAATCTTATTTACATAGATGTTATCAGTTGGGTTTGGTTCTTTGTGCTTTTTTGACCCTACTACCTAGGTTAGAAATCTTATCAGCATTTAGATTTCTTCGGGTATTTCTTTAAGTTACATTGTATTGAATATAGTGAATGTATGTAAATGGCCTATGTAACCATTTTCTTAACCATAGAAATTTACATTGTTTCCAGGTGTTTGGCTGCTAAAAACAGCATTATAGTAAAATGTCTCTTTGTGTACCCAACCGAGCGGATCTCTATACATGAAATTGTTGGGTCATAGAATGTTCACACTTAAAAATCTTAGTAGTTATTCCTGCAGAACATTTTTTTAATCTCATTAGTGTATCAGAGTGCCCTTTGTTTACAGTATAACCTTTCAATATTATTACACTATTAAGTTTTTATTAATCTGATGGAGGAAATGATCTCATTGTTTTCATTTTTGTTTCCATGATTACTTAGTGTGATTGAGAATTAATTTATATTTTAATTGAGTCTTTATTTTTGTTATTCTATGCATATTTCTTTTTATCAAGTTGAATTAAAGAACTTCTGTATATCTTCTGAATATACATATTTTGGATTCTGTATTTGGGACTGAATTTTCTCCAGCCTGTAATTCTTAGTTTGGCTTACCAGTTTTTATTATGTAAACATTTAAAATTTTTATTTGGTTATACTTTTTTTCTTGTGCATTTACATTCCATCACTGTCCTAGCTCATAAACATATTCTATGTTTTATTAAGTACTTTTATATTATTAAAATATTGAGGTAGGGATATAACTACTTTTTTCTCTATGGATAGCCAGTTGCGTCAATAGATTTGTAGAACAAGAGACTTAGGTGGAATGATCAGCAAGAGTGTTGGTTATGTGAAAAAGGGAGTTGAGGAAGAGAACCCAAAAGTTGAAGCTGGGCTCTGATTTTAAGAGAATAGAACTTGAGTTTTAAGAAGCATTTGGTTTGCAGGGATGGTCATGACTTGATTTAGGGATTTTTTTTTTTTTAATTGTAGATGGACACAATACCTTTATTTAATTTATTTTTTTATGTGGTGCTGAGGATAGAATCCAGTTCCTCACACATGCAGGTGAGCACTCCACCACTAATCCACAATCCTAGCCCCGATTTAGGGATATTTAATTTAAGTAGTGGTAAACACCCAGTTGGAAATGTCTGGCAGAGAGTTGGAAATATGGAACTAGTAGGAATTATAGATCTGGAAGAACCAAACTCCCAGAGGAAGGTGAAATTTACACTAGGTGAGAGGGCTGGCTTAGAATAGGAGAAATGGCTGTTTGATGAATCCAGTGTTGACATTTAAAGTTTTATTGAGTAATCTAATTTTGTGTCTTTGAAGTAATCTAGTCCATTTCCTCATATTACACATGAGGAAACACATGGTTAAGTGGGCAAAGTGATGCCCAAACTTACATAATAAGTTGTGTGGAGCTATCTGGAGTACAACTTGGTTGTCCCTACTCCAGGCTTACAGTTTGTACCAGCTGGTACTCCTGCTCCTCCCCCCATTTCTGTGTATGGTATTTGTTTGTTTCTGGTACATATGTGTACCAAGAACTTCATATGTCTTCTGTCCCTGTGTGCTGTTTTGGTTATTGTATATCAGTCCTATAAAGACTTCTGATGGGAAAGGGTATTTACAGAGAGAGAAACTCATGCATACTTATGTTGCCTTCTGCCACTGTGATTGGAACATTTGATCAAAATATCAACCATAAGCTTTTCCTCATGAGGGACAAAGATGGAAGATTGTGTACAGAACTAGAGAACCCCCATAATTCTTACTTTCTTCCTTCTAGGATAGAATGATATCAGTAGTGGCTGTCATTTAGTCCATACTCTTTTGTGCCTAAAATTATTATTACCTTATATGATCTTTTTTACAAGAATCTTTTGAAGGTATGGGATTAATAAAATCCAAACTTACATGATAAAATCTAAACAATATAAATGAATAAAGTAAGGCTCAGTGATACATCAAAGAAACAAAGTGTGTACAGAACCAGGATTTAAACTCAAGTATATCTCATTATAAAGTCTGTGATCTTAATTCCTCTGCCTTGCTACCATTCTCTGTACATTTGAGAGATGGCTATTTAAATAGGAGGTAACAATGACATCTGACTTGTTCTATAGTCTAAAATTTACTGTATTTCCACTGGGTAAGGTCCAAGATGGGTATTATTTAGGACTGAGATCTTATTTTGTAATACCTATATTGCTTGGTTACTTGTATCTAAAAATATGGTTGTTGAATATTGGCACACAATTTCTTTTTCCTTTTCATCAGTATACTGCTTCAGTGGTGGATACTGAACTATTGCTTTCTTTATAGAGAAACCATGCCAGATGGATCATCTGGATCGAATCCTACTGTCTGGCATCTATAATGTACGCAAGGGAAAGACCCAGCTGCATAAGTGGGCTGAACGCCTAGTTGTTCTCTGTGGAACCTGCCTTATTGTTTCCTCAGTGAAGGATTGTCAAACTGGAAAGATGCACATTTTGCCTCTGGTTGGGGGGAAGGTAAGAATCACAAAGATGTATATATTTTTTTAATATTTATTTTTTAGTTGTACACAATACCTTTATTTTGTTTATTTATTTTTATGTGGTGCTGAGGATCTAACCCATGTGTTAGCATGTGCTAGGTGAGCGCTCTACCGCTGAGCCACAACCCCAACCCACAAAGAAATATTGTTACTGTTCATTTAATCATTAAGAAAATTAAGGACTGAGGATGTAGTCTATGGTAGAGAGCTTGCCTACCATGGGTAAAGCCCTAGATTCAGTTCTCAGCAGTGTGAAAGAGAAAGGGAGAGAGAGAAAGGAAAGAATAAATTGAGAAAATGTCACATATGCTTTTCATTGATTTTTTTCATATATTTAAAAAAAAAAGTAAATATGAACATTGTTAAAGATTTTATCAGGGCCTGTCTGGGAAGTTCAGAGGCTATCCATTTCCCAAATGCTCCTGTAGAATCATCTGTCGGAGAAGCCCTGCCTCCAAAGCTGTGTACTAGATGCTGTGGCTGGCAACACCAAGAGTAGACAGGGAATGCTACCATCAGAAGCTGCTCTTGGAAACTAGAAGTACCTGCCAATATCCACCAATAAAAGAGGTCCTTTCTAGTTTTTTATTTTTTCCCATTAGATTAAAATTCAGAGTCTGGGGTAGTTATGACCCTCAATTCAGTAGCCAGAGAGGCATGTTCTTTCTTGCATCTGTCCCAGAGGAATCCCCCTCCGAGGAGAGAAGTTCACTTGCTAGCTAGTGACAGATGACTATAAACATGTATGTTAATAGTTACATATAATTTTATTTTTTTTGTTTTGAAATTTGAGTGTCATAACCAATGTGAGTTTAAGAGGACAAAATCATCTTGTAGAGTCATACTTTGAAACATTCATTCTGATCTAAGTACATGGCAATATAGATATCAAAACATGTATTAGAGAGTTAAATATGTGAAAAGACATAGCTGGGCTTAAAAATGTAGTGTAGAAATATAAAGTGGTCAGTTAGTGTGAATCTGTGGGCCTGCTGGGCTCTGGGTCTGAAAGGTTGGGGTAGCCTAGAAAGTATCTAGGTCTAAAAGTTCCCTGCTTATGCTGGGAGATCTGTGCCAAGTTTATAGCTTAAAACTAGGGGCTGAGTTTGTTTTCTTTGTTTATGAAAGAAAGCTAAAAATGAAATGTGCTGTTAACTATTGATTAGATTAAGGCTTACTTCTAGTTGTGGTCCTAAAAAGATAGGAGGACCCAGTTATATGGCTGTGACTAGGAAGTGAACCAGGTCCCTACTGACTCAATGAAGAAATTGACCAGAAAGCAGGAACCCACCACGCCAATTTGAGACCTTGTTTTGATCTTGGAGGCTGAAGGACAGTGACGAAAGTAAGTAAAATTTCTTGACAGGAAAGAGGCAAGTAAGAACAGGTCAGGAATTTATAAAAAGCTGGGGAGAGAGTGAGACAGAAGAAGATAAAATGCTAACCTCTCATTTAAAGCACCTACACTCCAAAGTCCAAAAAAACACCTACAAGTTTTATATTAGGGAAGATATCCACAAATGTAGTAATCAGAAGATACTTCAGATCAAAATGGAAATAAAGGAACATCCTGAAAAGACTGGAAAATAAATGTATAGAATTTTCTGGGACAGAATAGGAAAACAAAAATTTCTGAAGTAAGAATATGCAGCTATGAAGAAGTCAGTAAAAATAATGGAAATGAAAAGACAGTTATTGAAATTTAAAACTTAATAGGATAAACCCAGATAAGAAATTCACAGAGAGATTTGATTAATAGTAACATAATTTGTCTTCATTCTCTCTCTTTTTGATACCAGGGATTGAACTCAGGAGTATTGACCACTGAGCCACATCCTCAACCCTGTTTTGTATTTTATTTAGAGACAGGGTTCCACTGAGTTGCTTAGCAGCTCCTGGCAGTTGCTGAGGCTGGCTTTGAACTCCCAATCCTCCTTCCCCGGCCTCCCAAGATTACAGGCGTGCACCATCATGTCCCGCTGTCTTCATTCTCTTTTTTATTTACCAGTAGAACAGAATTTTATTCAGGTTGGCAGTATGCCCAGGATCAAAACCAGTATCTCCCAATCTCTTTTGTAGTTAGGGATGGCTAATGAGATATAGTTTCTAGGTGGGACTATTGGGAAAGCCCTTTAAGATGGGACTGACGCGGATGCCGTGACTCTTTGCCCTATCCTACCTTCCTTTGTGATACATATTCTCTCAGGGTTGGAAGTGTGGTGGTTGTGGTGACCATTAGTTGGCAAGCGGATGCTGTGTGTGACTATATAGAAAGTAGAAGGCAGCTGAGTCCTCAATAGCATTATAGAGCTACTGCACCAATCCCTTACTGACTCCCCCCATTTTTTTTTAAAGCCTCTGTTTTATTGCTGGATGTAATTAACTGGTGTACTAAGGAATTTCACAAACAACAACAACAACAACAACAACAAAGACCTTAAGAGAGGCTCTGGTATACATCTAATAGGAGTTCCAGAGAAGAGAGCAGAAAGAAGGGAGAAGTGATAGCTGAGAAAATAATGGTTGCAAATTTTTTATCTTTATTTTTTTTTGAGAGAGAGAGAGAGAGAGAGATAATTTTTTTTAATATTTATTTTTTAGTTTTCTGTGGGTACAACATCTTTATTTTTATGTGGTGCTGAGGATCGAACCCAACCCAGCGTCCTGTGCATGCCAGGCCAGCGTGCTACTGCTTGAGCCACATCCCCAGTCCCTGCAAAAATTTTTAAAAATTTTCTATTTTGTAGTACTTGTTATTGAACCCAGGGCCTTATGAATGCTAGGCAAGTGCTCTACCACTGAGCTACATTCTCTGCTCTCTTTATTTTTTATTTTGAGACAGCATCTTGTTGAGTTGCCCAGGCTGGCCTCAAACTTGTAATCCTCTTGTCTCAGCTCTCTAGTCACTGGGATCAGAGGTGTATGCCACTGTGCCCAATGTGGTTGCAAATTTTCTTGAAATAAAAACAAACATGAGTATTCAGATTAAAAGTATACTGAATATAATAAGTAGGATACATAAAAATAAATCTTCACTTAGATACATTGCACAACATAATGGATAGAAGCAAGTCAAAATCTTCCAGAAAAAGCTGGCTCCTTACTCACCTACAGTCTCAGTTACTGAGGAGTCTGAGGTAGAAGGATCATTTGAACCCAGGAATTTGAGGCCATCCTGGACAACATAGCAAGACCCTATCTTAAAACAAGCAAATTCCAAAAGCTTTTGCTGAGAAAAGGGTTGCTTGCAAGGAAATGACAGACTGACAAAAGGTGTCTTATCAAAAGTAGATACTGGATGGGGCTGGGGATGTGGCTCAAGCGGTAGCGAGCTCACCTGGCATGTGTGCAGCCCGGGTTCAATCCTCAGCACCACATACAAACAAAGATGTTGTGTCCGCTGAAAACTAAAAAATAAATATTAAAATTCCCCCCCCCCCTTTAAAAAAAAAAGTAGATACTGGAAGATTATTTGCAAAATTTCTGCAAGAAAATAAATGTGAATCTATATTTTTAGTCTTTTCTTTCTCAGTTTCTGTCTTTTTTCTGTTTGCCTGTCTTTCTTTTTTGTGTTGGTGCTGGGATTGAACCTTGTGTTTGCTGGGCGAGAGCTCTATCACTGAGCAATGTCCCTAGCCTCTTGACTTTATACTCATATTATCTTACAAGAGTCAAGGCTGTATAACACATTTTCAGATATTCAATTAAGCTGACATATGGAAACTGAAAGAACTACTAAAAGATATACTTCCGAACCTCATTCCCCAATAAAAAAGAAAAAAAGTAAAACAATAGTCGAAAGTAAGTTCAAAGGGGAGGTTATAAATTAAAAGAAACGATGAGTGTAGACCTTGATAAAATATGGTGGCAAATTTAGTTAGATATTGATTATAAAAAGTTAAAAAGATTATATTTACTGTATAAGTCAAATTACCTGAACAAGATAATAAGATGTGGCAATGTGCTCAATAAATAAAATGATACTTCCTTGGGATAAAAGAATAGAGACACCAAATAATTTAAACTTTATTAGAAAAATTGTCAAATATGAATTTAAAAATCTTAAAAGAGTAGTCACTAAAAGGAGAAAAGAGAATATAGAAAACTAACTGTAAAACAAGGCAGAAAGAATTAGGAAAAAGGAGCAAAATAATATGGTAAATTGTCACACAACTAATGGTAGAAATAAATCCAAACATGTCAATAGTCAGGTTAATTGTGATTGTAAGATTATGTTATTTAAAATACTACAGTTTGCTGTTTGTAAGATACATATGTGGGCTGGATTGTGGCTAGAGTGCTTACCACCCACTCATGGTCCACTGAGTTCAATCCTCAGCCCCACATAAAACAAATAAATAAAAATAAAGATATTGTGTCCAACTGCAGCTAAACAATAAAAAAAAAAGAGAGAGATACTTAATGCTTACTCTGAAGAGGTTGAAAGTGAAGTGATGGGAAAATATTTACTGGTCAAATAAAAAGCAAAAGAAATTTAGTGTGGGGGGTTGAGTGCTCGCTCACCATGCGTGAAGCACTGGGTTCCACCCCCAGCACCACATACAAATAAAATAAAGATATTGTGTCCACCTATAACTAAAAAGTAAATTAAAAAAAAGAAAATTAGTGTGGTTATATGTTATATTAATGACATATGAAACTTATGAGTATGCAACAAAGAGACTTTTATCCAGAATATATAAAAATCTTATGCAGTTAAGTAGTAAAAAGAATAATAACCCACTAATGAATGGGCAAAAATGATTTGATCAGATCCTTTACCAAAGAAGATATATTGATACTTAACACCTGAAAAAAAGATCCTCAACATATTAGTTATTAGAGAAATGAAAATGAAAACCACAGTGAGATGCTATATACCTCTAAAATGGCCAAACTTAAAAGACTGATGAACACCAAGTTTGGCAAAGACATGAAGCATCTGGGACATTTATACATTACTGGTGGAAATAAAATTACTTTGGAAAGAGTTTGTTCCTTTCTTGTAAAATTAAACATAAACTTTTCAGATGACCCAACATTCTACTCCTGTTATTTGCCCAAGAGAAATGAATGTGTGTCCTTATAAAGACTTGTAATGAAGTTCATAGCAGCTTTACTTAAAATAGCCAAAAATAGAACCAACCCAAGTTGTTTTTAGCTGGTGAATTGATGGTATATCCATACAATGGAATTCTACTCAGCAGTAAAAAGGAGTGACCTATTGACACTCAAGGACAGAGATGAATCTGGAAAGCATTATTCTAAGTGGAAAAAGCCAGATACAAAAGTTCATTTTTCATATGACTCCATTTATATGACATTCTGAAAAAGGTACAAAACTATAGTGAATGAAAATAGACCAGTGATTATAGGGAAGGGATTGGCAAAGGGCACAAGGAAAATTTGGGGGGTCATGGGGTTATATGCTATTATAAAAACTCATCTGACAGTTCACTTAGAATCGGTGAATTAAAAAATAAATCAGTGGATTTTATTTTAGGTAAATTACATTTTAGTAAAATAGAATCCCCCAAAAGATTTGAGTAAATAAAAACATTTGTAGGGATAAAGAGACTAACCAAAAAAGGACGAAAGGAACATTTTACTGTATTTACTAATTCCAAGGTTGTACATATATAACAATATGGTCTAATATAACACAGAATATGAATATACAGAGATATTGACAAATTAATTTGTAGTGAGAGATTTACCAACCTTTCCCACTATTTGACATTAATTGATTCTATGTACTTTACTGTGTGAAACATCCCATAATAAAACATTTGATTATTCTAGAAAATGATCTATTCTTCATTTCAGTAAGGATCCTTTGTTTTGACACAGACTTACTCAAAGGCAGTGATTTATTAGTAATGAAAAATGGTTATGTTGTGATTATCACAATTGAACATTAGGAAAATTGTTTAATTTCAGTGAGCCTTTTTAATATGATTCTTTTTTGTTCAGAGTGTTTTATGTTTCTGCCATTTGGTTCAGTCTTTAGTTGGCACCAGAACCCTAATGGTTTACAAGTATAACTTGTAAATTCCCAGCTTATTTGTCAAAATTTAGTAGCTATGGCATATTAAAGTAAGATGCCAGACAAGACATAAATGGTTCTGTAACTATTAAAAAAAAAACCCTATATCCTCATCAAAATTGTATAGGTTGGGTTTTTGGAGATTGGGAGGGAGTTTTTTACATAGCTGCTTTTGTGCCTTGAATTCTTATCACTATCTCAAATAGGAATGAGGAGAGGTTCTTGCCTTTTCTCAAGCTGGGGACTCTAGAGCTTGATAAAGGTCTTCTGCAGTAAGAGGACATAGTTTACTGGTGTCCTGCCTCCTGACTTTGAAGTGTTGAGGACAAGAGTTATGCTGCGTAGCTACTGACAGAGCAAAAACACAGCTAATGTGTTGTGATCATTGTGTATTTCTTGAGTTAAAGAAGCAGGGAAGCTGGGAAGAGGAGAGGGAGAAGGAGAGAACAAAAGAGGAGGTGAGAGAGATAAAGAGAGTGCTTGAGAGAGCAAGCAGTAGCACAGGGCACACAGGCTTTCTCATAGATGCTTAGAATTTTATCACCCCAATCATTTTTATAACCAAGAAACCCTTCATTCCTTAGCCATTGCCCCTCAATTCCTTCCTTAGCCCTATGCAAATATGAATCTACTTCCTGTCTTTATAGATTTGCCAATTCTGGGCATTGCATATGAATGGAATAAAAAAATTGTGGCTCTTTGTGATTGGCATTGTTCATTTAAGATGTTGTTTTTAAAGTTCATTGGTACAGTACATGAATCAGTATTTGTCCTATTTATGGCCAAATGATATTCTGTTTTATGGATAATGCCACTTGTGTTTATATATTTACCCATTGATGGACATTTGGATTGTTTCTACTTTTTGGCTATTATGAATAATGCTGACATGAACATTCATATACAAGTTGTTCTCTTGGACATCAATGTAAAAATGGAATTGCTTGGTTTTATAATGACCTTGTGTTTAATCTTTAGAGGAACTGCCAGAAGGTTTTCCAAAGCAGCTTCACCATTTTACATTCCCATTAGTAGTATAGAAGGATTCCGGTTTCTCCACATCCTTACCAATATTTACACAACATGTGTTTTTAATCTATGTTTTTAATTTTAACTATCCAGTGGATATGAATTGGTATCTCATTTTATATATTTCCCTGGCAGCTAATGATGTTGATTATCATTTCATGTACTTATTGGTGATTTTATAGATCTTTGGAGAAATATATATTCAGATTTTTTTTTGCCTTTTTTAAAAAATTGGGCTTGTTATTGCGTTTTGCTTTTTGACCAGGATTTCTTTTTAGTGGTTCTGGTTTTCTCCCCTCCTCTTCTTCAGATAGAAGAAGTGAAACGCCGGCAGCATTCCCTTGCATTCAGCTCAGCTGGAGCCCAAGCTCAGACCTATCATGTCAGCTTTGAGTCTTTGGCTGAGTACCAGAGATGGCAACGGCAAGCATCTAAGGTGATAAGCTCTCAAACATCCTGATGTGAAGATAAGAATGTAGAAGTCCCTTAGAAGTGTATTTTGAAACTTATCTTAGTTCTAAGACAGCAAATTATAACTCTTAATTTTATTTCTTAATATATATTGAATAAAATAATGGAATCACACTAGATCCTTAACTTATTATTTATGCCCAGTATAAAAATGCTATCAAAAGTGTTTTCAGGTGCATTTACCTCTGTATCATGTCTGCAAGGCAGGCCTTGGAAGAAATTACGACATAATGAGATTTGACCCAAGAAGGAATTGAGAAATGATGAGATTTACATGGCTTTCATTCTGTAATAGTAGTCATTGGTTGATGGAACTGTTCCCTAACTTGTAGGCCAGTGCTTTTTGGTCTCAACATATTAAGAACAGGCTTGATGAGCCACTTCAAATTAGAACTTACTGATAGTACAATGACCTGTAAATTATTATTGCTATATGCTGAGGATAGCCTTTGAGCATTATTTCTGCTTTTTAAAGATTAAAGATGAACTACTGTAAAAGTGTACTGTGATTTCCAAACTCTCTTGTTTGAGAATTTGCAGAAATTTTCATAGTATTGTTATTATAAAGTGAATTGCCATCAAAACATGAGTGACTTTTCCAGTGATATATTGTTTGTTCAGATACATTTTCATAATGCATATTTTTAGTAGCATACTATTATAGAAATAAAAACCTTGTTTTGGTTTCATTGAAGTTTTTTGTTAATGTATTGATTATAAAATATGCTCTGAATAGAAGTAGTTTTCATTTAAAGTAGCTATTTTGTTCTTCTGCCTTTTTAAAGAGAAGTTAATGAATGATTTTGAGCATCTTTGGTATGTTTGGCAGTGTGCTATGTGCTTGGTTATTTAACTACTTACCCTCACAACAGATGATGAAACTGCTAGTAAGCAGCAGAATCTGTGTGGCTCCAAAAGGCCTTGTCTTTTCATGCTGTCTCTCAAAGTTTTGTACAGTTATTTTGAATCATTTTAATGTTACTTCTTGTGTGAAATGTCAACCATCTCTCTTTATGATATTGTATTTTTTAAACCCTTTACTTGTAGAGACTTTGTAGTTTATTCCTTTGTTTTTCAAGCACCTTATGGTTTTAGAGAAAAGTAAAAACTGAAACGTTTTATAAGTGAATAATTGGATTTCTTTACCTTTTTTTCTTTCCTGGTCTTTAGTCAGTGCTGTTTTATAAATGCCATTCTGTCCTGTGTTAGATGATAGACATCCAGTACTAGCTCAGAAGGCTCTTCTCTTGAACCTTCTTCAGGTGGTGTCCCAACGAATCAGTACTGTGGATCTTTCGTGTTACAGCCTTGAGGAAGTTCCTGAGCATCTTTTCTACAGTCAAGATATCACCTACCTCAATTTGCGACACAACTTCATGCAATTAGAAAGACCAGGGGGCCTGGACACACTCTACAAGTATGTGGAGAATAGGTTTCAGGTCAATATGTTGGAACTATATTGTAATCAGTATCTTAGTGGTCCAGACCTCTAACTGAGCATGCTTGTGTTAGTCCATTTCTTGTTTCTAACCTAAAGTTGGGTCCTATATAAAGAAAAGAGGCTTAAATCCAAGAACAGGCAGCTCTGTCAGTTCATCATCTGATGGGGGCCTCTTTGGCTGCATCATATTATGGCAGATGCCATCATGGTGGGAGCCCATGTGAGAGGGCCAGACAGGAGGCCAGAAGAGTTCAGGGGGTCAAGCTAGCTCTTTTATGATAATTCATTCCGTGTAGAAGGTAATTTACTTCATGAGAATAACATTAGTCCCTTCCAAGGGTAGCACCCCTAGTGACATTTTTCCCACTAGGTCTCACTTCTTAAAGTCAACCGCTTCTTAGTTCTATCACACTGGGGCCAAGTTTCTAGCATATGAAACTTTGGGGTACAAACCATGCCCAAGCCATAGCACATTTCATTATGTGTTTGTACATATATATATGTGCATACATATTTTTTTCCCTGCAATTTCTACTCATTTTTGAAGAAAAAGCAATATTTTTCACATAATTTTCCCACCTCTGTATTCCTCCCTATAAAACAGATGGTAGATGCAAATGTTCTGTTATAGAGGCAACAATGAATTGTCATTGATTTGGATAATCTTTTTAATATAAGTTATTAACAATGGTACATGAGCTGCAACCATGTTAAGTTGAGAGATTCAGTATATGAAAACTTTTGAATAAAAAATATCCCAATTTAATTGATTTCAAGCAGACAGGCCTAATTTCAGGAATTCCAGAGGCAGGACTTTATCTTTCCTTTGTACCTGCTCCTGCCAACTCTCCTCAGTGATGAAACCTATCTTAGAATTCTAACAAAGGAGCCATTTCAACTCTACAGATCTATGACCTATATATTTTTCCATCTCTTTTATTAGAGTATGTCCCCTCATTCCTACATTTTACTCATCCAGCTTCATTCCTCCACTGAAAATTGGAGGGCTGAAATCTGGGTATGGTGGTTCATGCCTGTATGTAATCCCAGCTACCTGAAAGTCTGAGGCAGAAGGATCACTTCAGCTTATGAGTTTGAGACAAGCCTGGGGGAATATAGTGAGACCCCATCTGAAGAGAAACAAAACAAAACCTAAACCAAAACAAGCAAAAAATGGATAACTGTGAGTAAATATGCGGTAGAAGTGATTATATGGGTTTGGTGGGGAAGGGAGAAATTCTGATCAGAAATTCTAAAGACTGCCTTAGTAGTAGAGCCCTTACCTAGCATGTACCATGCTGGGTTCAATCTCCAGTATTTCAATTGCTAGATAGATATGGATTAATTAATTCTGGAGTCAAGGTACCAAATCAAAGGAATAATCAGTAATCAGGGTCATGTCATCTGGAAATCAAGTTGGGAATATGGATGAAGAGCATTGGAATGAGGTCCCAAGGATTCAGATCAAGGAACAGGTGATAGGATTTTGTCATAGAGAACACTTCAGCCTTGTCTCTTGTACTCTATAACAACAAAGTGACACTTCCATGTGACTCCTTTGGATCCACTTTATGATTATGCTATCTCTGGATAAGACAGTCTCGATACTTTTACTCCCACAGTCAAAAATAGAAGCACTAAAAATTCATGATGCATATCATACCACATTACAGTAAAACACTTGTTGTATACGTGTGTTCAAGCTCAACTGGCCCGTACATTTCAAGTGACATTTGAACCAACATAATTTCGGTATTAAAAAAGAAGTTTTTTTTTTTTTTTAATTTGTAAATTTTTGGTTATAGATGACACAATACGTTTCTTTTATTTGTTTACATTTTTTATGTGGTGCTGAGAATTGAACCCAGTGCTTCATCTGCACGAGGCAAGTGCTCTGCCACTGAGCACAACCCTAGCCCAGAAGTTGTTTTTTTTTTTAGTTAGAGATGAACAAAATAACTTTATTTATTTTTTATGTGGTACTGTGGTTCACGCATGCGAGGCAAGCACTCTACCACTGAACCACAACCCCAGACCAAAAATAAGTTTTTTAGAATTGGATTTGATGTATATATTTGTTAATTATTCTTGTATCTGTGAGTTGATTAATTTTTACCCACTTTAGATTACATGTTAGAAATTTAATAACAAAATATTGTAAGTATGACTTTATACAATAGAATTGTCCCAGCATGAGTTGTTCTTCAAGTTTTCTGCCTTTTGTTTGTTTGTTTGTTTTTCAGGGCTGGGGATTGAACACAGGGCCCTGCACATGCCAGGCAAGTGCTCTATCACTGAGCTACATCCCCAGCCCTAGATTTTCTGCCTTTTATGGAAAAGAGATTCCTGTCACACTAGACCTGGTTTCCTTGATAGCATGGACTGCACATTAGTCCTTTTAGTATCCTCTGCCCACACGCTTGGCATGTAGTAAGTGCTCATTAAATATTTTTGGAACAAATTCTGGGATGGACACTTAAAACAGATCATTTAAAATAGATCATGAAAGACCACTGATGTCTCTTCTAAAGATATATGACAGACTTTTTGAAATACAGTATGGATTTTTGCCTTTGCCCTTTAGATTTTCTCAACTGAAGGGCCTGAACTTGTCCCATAATAAACTTGGGTTATTTCCTGTATTGCTGTGTGAGATTTCCACCCTGACTGAGCTCAACCTTTCCTGTAATGGGTTTCACGACCTGCCAAGTGAGATTGGCAGTCTGCTAAAGTAAGTGTCTAACTTTTGCTACATTGCTCTTTTTACTTTAGAATAAGGAATCTGTCTGGCATTTTTGAGTGAAGGTAGAACTTTGAGTGCTGGCATTGAAATAAATCATAAAGTTATTAGAACTCATTTAGTTAGCAGCAGTTTTTAATGCTGGAGATCTCTGATCTCCATGATTGCAGTAATGACCAGTTCCTGTACTTGACCAGCAGAGATCCTGACTCCAATGTCAAAGGCCCATCCTTGGAAGTAGTATCTAAGTCATCTATTAAGTTTCTGTATGTTGAGCGTTAGGAGGTTTTACCATTTTGGGATTGATAATGAATGAAGGGCTTAAGCCAGAATTCATAACTCTAATTCTGTGCAATTGAATAAGATCTTTCCTAAAGTAGATTGTTATTTCCGCCTCCGCAGTCTTCAAACCCTCTGTCTTGATGGAAACTTTCTGACTACTTTACCTGAAGAATTGGGAAATCTGCAACAGCTTTCCTCCCTTGGAATTTCCTTCAACAACTTTAGTCAAATTCCTGAAGTTTATGAGAAACTCATAATGGTAGATAAAGTGGTTATGGCAGGAAATTGCCTAGAAGTCTTGAACTTAGGGGTGCTGAACAGGATGAGCCATATCAAGCATGTGGATTTAAGGTGAGGTCATTCTTTACCAGAGCTTCTTTATCTTGACTTCAGTGGACCTGTATGTCTTCTCTTTATAAGCACTCCTTTAAAATATTGGGATTTTAGAACACTGTAGAAATATTTTCCAAGTTATAGTAAAATTTAATTTATCACCCACTAGCAGAGAGATAAAGGGTCAGATAAGTGGACCACGTGGTAAGCATCAAATTGCTTTTGACAGAGGTGGTTCTCACCCTCCAGCAATATTTTATGAGAATTTTCTTTTTTTCTCATCCTTATCTACATTGGATTTTTAGTAGTCTTTTTCCTTATTGTCAGTAAAGGTGGGAAATAGTATTTTGTTATAATAACCATTTAGTTACTGGGGTGAGGTTGAGTATGTTTTTTATGTGCATATTAGTAGTGGTTTGTAATTTTCTGTAAATAACTATTTTTCTGTTGAGTCGTTGAATTTCTTCTTAATAGCATTGTATTATAAATGAAATGTTCAAGGCTTCACTACTAAGAAATTTTTTAATAATCTTTTCCTAAAGGAAGGTGGCAAAAGACACCTGAGTGTTCTATTATTTATAGGGAGCTATTAGCATGCCTTGTAAAAATGTAGCAAAAGACAGAATTATTGAAATACAGGAAAATGAGAACAGACCCATATGCTTTGAATTATATACTTGTATAGAAAAGAACTGAGAGGCCCTTTTTTAGAGTTTGTCTTTTTTTGGATTATGGAGGACTTTTTTCCTATATTTTTTATTAGTACATTATAATTATATATAATAGTGGGATTTATTGTTACATATTTATACATATACACAATGTAATAATATAATTTGGTCAGCATGGTTTCAAGGTTTCAAGTTTGCCTTTGAATCCTTCAGTATAGATACAGATTATTTTCTTCATTAGTGTCATGTGAGTCTTAGTCCTACAGCAGCGGGAGGAAGAAGAGCTGTTTGTTCCCTTTTGACTGCTTAGCTACCATTCATTGAAAAGCATATTCATCTTCTCGTTTTTTTGCTTTCACCTAACCTTAGTAGGTATTTGGATATAAATGTTTTCCTTCTCTATATTGAATTTGTATGCGTATTTGCCAGTCTGGATTGTCTAATTTAGGTGCACCTTGAGCTCTTTGGTTATAAACCATCTGTGGTTATTTCTGTACCTTGCAAAATGAGTCAAGTAGTGAAATTCCTAGTTGGTTTAGGAGGGAAAATAGGACTGTCGTATTTCTTTTGGTAAACACACTTAATAGAGTTTATTTCTGATTATTTCCTTATTTTTGAATATTAAGGATGAATTACTTGAAAACCGTGGTTATTGAAAATCTGGAGGGAAATAGATACATCACACACATGGATTTGCGGGACAATCAACTGACTGACTTGGATCTTAGCTCTTTATGTAGCTTGGAACAGCTGCATTGTGAGCGGAACCAGCTGAGGGAGCTGACACTCAGTGGCTTCTCCCTTCGAACTCTGTATGCCAGTTCAAACAGTGAGTTCTCTCTATAATCTCTTGTTTTTTTCTCTTTCTTGTGTGAACTTTCTAAGAATAATGGTGCTGTGGTCCTCAGTCTCTGCAAAATAGAACTTGTTGAAGCTTAGCTTTATGGGTTTTTTTTCTTAATATTTATTTTTTAGTTATAGGTGGACACAATATATTGTGTTTTCATGTGGTGCTGAGGATCAAATCCAGTGCCTCATGCATGCTAGGTGAGCACTCCCACCTCTAAGCCACAACCCCAGCCTTTAGCTTTATGTTTGTTTTTTTTTTAAATAGAGAGAGAGAGAGAGAGAATTTTTAAATATTTATTTATTTTTTAGTTTTCGGTGGACACAACGTCTTTATTTTATTTTATGTGGTGCTGAGGATCAAACCCAGTGCCCCGCGCACCCCAGGTGAGTGCGCTACCGCTTGAGCCACATTCCCAGCCCAAGCTTTATGTTTTAACTTTGTTGTAAACACTGGTGACTGAGATGTTCATGAAAAGACATGGCAAGACTCACTACAGGAAAATAAGAAGAGGTATTTTTAAAAGTAGTGAGTGTGGACAAATATATTCAAAATCAAGTATTAGTAATAGTGTAAAATAGGTTGGCAAACTATTGCCCAGGGGCTAACTTTGGCCCCCTCTCTCTCTCTGGTGGGGTTTGGGGAGTCCTGGGTATTGAACTCAGGGACACTCAACTACTGAGCCACATCCCCAGCCCCATTTTGTATTTTATTTAGAGACAGGATCTCACTGAGTTGCTTAGCATCTCGCTATTGCTGAAGCTGGCTTTGAACTTATGATCCTCCTGCCTCAGCCTCCTGAGCTGCTGGGATTACAGGCGTGTGCCACTGCGCTCAACCTCAATCTCTTTTTGTATAGTTCATAAATAATGGTTTGCCCAGTGGCTTGGGAGATCTTGAGTTCAAAGCCAGCCTCAGCAACTTAGCAAGGCCCTAAACAATTCATCGGAATCCTGTGTCAAAATAAAATATAGAAAAGGACTGGGGTTGTGGCTCAGTGATTGAATACCCCTGGGTTCAATCTCTGGTTACCCCCTTGCCAAAAAAAAAAAGAGAGAGAGAGAATGGTTTAATGATTGGATTTTTAAAAATCAGAACTATACTTAATGATGGGAAAATTATCTATGAAATTTAAGTGTCTATATTCATAAAGTTTTATTGGAACATAACCACACTGATAGATTTACATATTGTTTATCCATTACTGCTTTCATATTACAGTAGCAGAATTGAGTAGTAGTGGGAGAGACTGCTACGGTCTACAAAACCTGAACTATTTAGTATTAGACTTTTACAGAAAAAAAAATTGCCAATTCCTGGTCTGGAAGCTTGTGCTACCTCAGTTTGAGAGTGAGAAGCCCCTTTAGAGAATTGTTTCAAGAATATTTGTAAAGGGCTTCCTATCTGTTGATGCTATTCTTATGGAGAATTCTTATTGTAGAAGTTATAATTACTTTTTCTATGTTTAAAGAAGGAAAGGAAAAAAGTTTAATTTCACTAAATGTCAGAAAAATGCAAATTTATTTATTTTTCTGTTTTTTAATTTATTTTTTAAATTATATTCAGGAGGATATTTACCTTTTGATATGTGTAGTATTTTAATTCTTAAAGAGTGAAGCATACACAGTGTAATTCTTATAACACATATAGAGCAGTTTTTCATATCTTTATATAAAGTATGTTCACACCAATTCATGTCTTTATACATGTACTTTTTTTTGCATTACAATTCTTACTACACATATATACCACAATTTTTCATATCTCTGTATATAAAGTAGGCTGACACCCAATTTGTGTCTTTATACATGTACTTTGGATAATGATGTCCATCACATTCCACCATCCTTGCTAATCCCCTGCCTCCTTCCTTTCCTTTCCTCCCTCCCCTCTTCCCTATATAGAGTTCATCTATTCATCCCATGTTCCCTCTCCCTACCCCATTGTGAGTCAGCCTCCTTATATCAGAGAAAACATTTGGCATTTGTTTTTTTGGGATTGGCTAACTTCACTTAGCATTATCTTCTCAACGCCATCTATTTACCTGCAAGTGCCATGATTTTATTCTCTTTTATTGCTGAGTAAAATTCCATTGTGTATATGTGCCACATTTTTTTAAAATACATTCATCCACTGAAGGGCATCTAGGTTGGCTCCACAGTTTAGCTGATGTGAATTGTGTGCTATAAACATTGATGTGGCTATGTCCCTGTAGTTAGCTGTTTTTAAGTCCTTTGGTATGATCTGAGGAGAGGAATAGCTGGGTCAAATGGTGGTTCCATTCCCAGATTTCCAAGGAATCTCCATCCTGCTTTCCATATTGGCTGCACCAATTTGTAGTCCCACCAGCAATGTATGAGTGTGCCTTTTTCCCCACATCCTTGCCAACACTTATTGTTGTTTGTCTTCATAATAGCTGCCATTCTGACTGAAATAAGACGATATTTTAGAGTAGATTTGCATTTCTCTGATTGCTAGAGATGATGAGCATTTTTCATATATTTAGAAAAATGCAAATTTAAATTATACGATTTTATACTCATCAAAGGAATAAAAAAAGATAATGCTGAGTATAACCGAAGATGGGCAGAATCATCTTCAAAAGCCCTTAGGTGCAGCCAGTGAGGGTCAACTCTAAAATCTTGGAGGACAGTATGACTATGTGAGAGAAGTCCAAGGTCCACATATGCCATTCCTAGTAGTCACCTTCTTGGAATATATCCCAGATTTGCTTATCTATGTACAAGGAGATGTGTACAAAAAGTTCACCACAGTGTTGTTTGTGTTATAGTGAAAGAATAGGAACAAAATAGGACTACTAATGGAAAATGAGCAAATCAGTAGTAATGTGTTTATGCAATAGAATATTACTCTGCAATGGAAATGAATATACTGTCTTTGTGTATGAATAAATGTCAGAAACTTTTTATTTATTTATTTATTTATTTATTTTAGTGCTGGGAATTGAACCCAGGGGTGCTTTACCACTGAGTTATATCCCCAGTCCTTTATATTTTTTATTTTGAGATGAGGTCTTGCTAAGTTGCTGAGGGTCTCACTATGTTGCGGAAGCTGGCCTCAAACTTGTGATCCTTCTACCTCAACCTCCCATCTCTGGGATTACAGGTGTGTGCCACCATGCCTAGCTCTCAGAAATATTTTTTAACAAAAAAAGTGCATAATTATATGGGACTATTATAATTATCGAAATTTAAAACACAGAAATATTCCTTTTACCTATGATATAACAGCATGAAAGATTCCATGGAAATGCTAAAAATTATATTCAGGAGGATATTTACCTTTTGATATGTGTAGTATTTTAATTCTTAAAGAGTGAAGCATATTAAGGCAGAGGGTAGATTTGTTGAAATTTGGATAATGGGTGAGAACATGTTCATTATTTTTTTTTCTTTGCTTTTATGTATCTGTCAATACAGATATAGGATAATAGAAAGTTAAGAATTTCTGTTTTCCTTGCCTTTTATCATGTTATAGAAGCTCTAAATTGTGGTTTCAGGTTAGTTTTCAGAAAAGGGTCAAAATTGATGAGTGTTGACTGGTGCTTTATATCAATACCGTGATATGGTAGTAGGTCCTTGCCATAAAGAGATTCCTTATCAGGTCCATCTGTGTCTATAATGTGTCTGGAAAGTCCAAATGCCTGGCCCTACTGCAAAAGACATTGATGTATAAGCAGTTCTTAGTTCTGGAAATTCTGTCATAGCAGTGTTCTAAATGGGGCTTATTCGAGGTTAGCCCTCTGATTAAAGAATCCTTAAATTCTACAACATGGAATAATTCACATAAACAATTACAAAATAATTATAAAAGAACTTAGCTTTACAAAAAAAAGTTAGCCAGATGATCAGTTAACTTTTTTATAAAAGGCACTCAGCTTTACTAAGTATTAGGGATATGCAAATTGAAAACTCCTAGGTAATGACACTATATACCTACCAGAATGCTTAGAATGAGAGCCTGAAAATAGTGTGGCAGCTAATGAGAATGGGAATTAGTAGAGCCACTTCAGAAAACTATTCAGTAGTTTCTGACCATGTGCCTGGCATAGTGGCTCATGCTTATAATCCCAGTGGCTTAGGAGGCTAGGGCAGGAGGATGCAAGCTCAAAGCCAGCCTCAGCAACTAGCAAGGCACTAACCAACTCAGTTAGAACCTGTCTCTAAATAAAATACAAAAACAAATAAATAAGGGCTGGGGATATGGCTTAGTGGTTGAGTGCCCCTGGGTTGAATCTCCAGTACCAAAACAAAACAAAAAACTTGAACATGTACAGTGTACCTAGGAGTTCCTTTCCTAGGTTCATACTCAAATAAGTGCTGATATTAGTTCATAAAGATATAGACAAAAATATTCATGGAACCACTGTTCGTCGTTACTCTGGAAAAGACTTAAATGCCCATTATCTCTTAAGTGAGTAAATAAGTTGTAGTATATTCATTCACACACAAAAACTTCATTTAGGCAGGAGAATGAATGGATTATAACCATATGCTTCAGTATGAACAAATCTCACAAGTGTAACGTGGAGTGAACAAAACCAGACCAGAAACTTAGACATACTGTATGCATTTGCTTATATAAGTAGGCCTTCTGTGGTATTCAGAGTCAGGGTAATTAATGTTGCCCTTGATGATCAGTGAGTGGAAAAGGAGGTGAGCAGATCTTTCTGGGAGCTGATAACATCTTTTCTTGATCTGGGTATTGATTCAGCTTGTGAAAATTCAGTGATTTCTACACTTTAAGTTTCGAGGGAGGGGATGGCCAGCATCTCATTAAGGAGTCCTTTTTCCTTCCCAGAATAGTCCAAGATACCCTAAAACTTACAATCTTAGATAATTAGTAAGTCACAAAATAAAAATACTCAGAAATATATTTACAGAATGCAAAGCCCCTGATAAATCTAGTCCACATGGGTTCTGGAACTAGACAAAGGGAAAAGGACTCCAGTAATTTATTTAAGGGGCTATATCAAAGGCAGGGATAAGGTTTCAAGGGCGGAGTCTTGCTTCATGATGTCTTTCAGTCAGTAGGTTGATTGACATATTGGTGTAGGTCACACCCATCTCAGGTGCTTGTGTGGGCCATAGCAGAGCAGGAAAGAGATTCACATTGTGCCTGGGCAGTTGATCAGAAGAAATGTCCACTGGCCATTCCCAGACACCAGATGTCCCTATTGACAAGGCTTCCATACGTGAAAATCCACATCCAACCCATGAATGGCTTGTGACACTTAAGATTATTCTGTATTTATGTTATACATTAATTATTAAAGCTTAGATATTGCCAGCAAAAATTCAGTTATTAATTTTTTCAAGTTAAAACACTAAGTAGTTAACATTTAATAACTGCCAGATCCATTATAAATCCAGTGCTTTACACATAGTCCTTCAATTAGTTAAAGATTTGTTTTTCAAAACAAATTGGGATCAAGCAGTTAGTCAAAATGAGCTTCCTAGTAGTTTTTATCTTTAGTCATCTCAGAAGACATCAGTTTGTTTCAGTGATTTCACTAAGCTTCTTTTCCTGTGTTTACTACAAGTTGCTTTCTTTTTCAGAGACCTTCATTAATATCTGTTTGATTTTTGATAGGACTGACTGCAGTAAATGTCTACCCGGTGCCCAGTCTCCTCACTTCTTTGGAGCTCTCCCGGTGAGTGTCTTGTGAAGGTGGGAGCATGTTTGATCCTTACGAATTAAGAGAGGTGTGTGGATTCTCTAACAATTTTGAGGTACAAGAAATCTAAATATATTGAGATGTGTGGATAACCTGGAGAAAAGCAAAAGGATGAGTTAGAGGAATAAATCTAATGACTATAGTGTATACAGTTAAAGGGAAGATCCTCTTGGAATGGAAAGGTGCCTGTTAACTATTCCTCCTTAAAGACTGTGGGTGTAGGAAGAGATAGAACAAAGGTAGCCCATCATCTTCATGGTAGTGATTTTCTTTTTGTCAACTAGAATTAGGTAATTCTTGATTTTTTTTCCCATTTTTTTGTTGGTGCATTATAGTTGTGCATAATGGTAGGATTTGTTAGTATGTATTCCATTGCATATGCACCCAATATAATGTGACCAAAATCATTCCCTAGTATTTCCCCTTTCCTATCTCCCGCCCCTGATCTATTGACTCTCCATTCTGGTGACCTCCCTTTGATTTTCATGAGACTTCCCCACTCCCATCCACATCTTTCTGAGATAAAACATACAATCCTTGGCTTATTTATCTTAACATAATGTTCTCAAGTTTCATCCATTTTCCTGCAAATGACACAATTTTATTCTTCTTTTTTTGACTGTAATTCTTGATATTTAGATAGTGATTTGAAAAACTTTTAAAATTCTATTTTTAGTTTTTTGCTATCTTGTTACCCATCTTGGCCTGATTTTTGGAGACAACTTTGGCGAGGACTAGTCAGGACTTCCCTACTCATGCTGGTTGGTGCCCTCTAACTATACATTAGGCTTGTATCGTTTATTGTCTGGAATTCTCATTAGTTTTCCTTTTACCATGAGTTTCACTGTATTCTTTTATTCATTCATTTTTAACACTGTGTTAGGAATTCAGAACTCTGTTGAGTTCACAGTCTAGTAGAGAGATCAACAGACAAGCAGAAACAGGGCCGCATTATAAGTGCTGTGATGCTTGAAGATGTTTCAAGAAGGCTTCAAGCAGGTTGAAGGGAAGTGGGCATGGTCCTTGTATGGTCAGAGCTGTTGCAAAGATTACATGAGATACTAGATGTAAAATACATAGTATCAGACCAAGTTTCTTTTTGTTGTTACTTTATTATTATTATTATTATTAACAAGCTATTATTTTAGATTCCATCCATTTCTTCCTAACAAAATCCCATGTGAGCTGGGTATGATAGTATACGCCTGTAATTCCACCTACTCAGGAGGCTGAGACAGGAGGATTACACGCTCCACAAGACTCATCCATTCTTAGCTTCTTTCCTCTATTCAAGGCCAGTCCAGCTATCTATAATAGGCCTCTGACCCTATCTGCTTCCACTGCTCTGTACTTGCTCTATTAGTTGCTGTCCTCCTCCTATCTCATGTGTGTTCAGTGTCTTCCTTTTTCTCAGTCTTTATACACATTTATATCTCTTAATAAACAAAAAAGTTAGTTTACCTTACAGCCCATCTAACTACTTTCTATTTACTCTCATCCCCTTCTTATGCAAATTTCTCAAGAGTTATTTGCATTTGTTGGCTCAGTTTCCTCATTGTCTGTATCCTATCCCATCAGTAGCTCATGTTAGACTTTCTTTTGTGGAAATTTTCTGTGTTGACCCTTGCTGTCTTTTCTTCAAACATACTGTTTCTTTAGCTAGTTAATACAACCTGTGTTTTTTCATGTCACATTATCTGCTGGTTCTCTGTTTTGCATATTCCTCTTCCTCAGCTAACCCTTTAAAGGTTATTCATTCCCACTGTTCTATCTTTGGCCCTCTGCACCTGTCATTGAAAATGATCTCATTTACTTGATCTCATTTACTTCAGTAATTTCAGCTATACTCAATTATCATTATCACTTAGATTTCCAGCCCAGGTTCTCTTTTCTCAGGCTCAGACCCATGTGTCCAATTTTGTGCTAGATATTTTAATGTGTACCTTCCCAGGTGCATCAGATATTTGCAAAATTAAACTCATTGTCCACCCCCTTTACCTGCCTTATCTTGTTTGGTCTTGTGTATTTTACAGATTTTGGCATTATCTTCTTCCCTTATCATTTGGGCAGAAGGTGAAAATTTTTAATTCTTCCTTCTGCTTTTCTCCTCACATCTAATTCATTTTCAGTCATTTTAATTTTTACCTCTCAAATATTTCTATAATTCCTTCTCCTCACCTTTGGTGCCCTCTAACTATATATTAGGCTTGTATTGTTTGTTGTCTGGAATTCTCATTAGTTTTTCTTGTACCAATAGAACCATGTCAGCCAGACTCCATGGTGACCGAGTTGAAGTGCAAAGCTTATGTTGTCTGTTCACTTCTTTTTTTTTCTTCTTCTTCTTCTTTTTTTATTGGTTGTTCAAAACATTACAAAGCTCATGATATATCATCTTTCATACATTTGACTCAAGTGGGTTATGAACTCCCATTTTTACCCCAAATACAAATTGCAGAAATCACATCAGTTACACACTCATATTTTTACATAATGGCATATTAGTGACTATTGTATTCTGCTCCCTTTCCTATCCCCTAGTCTGTTCACTTCTTGATGTATCCTTCAGTGATCCTGTACTTGCAGGATCAAGTCGCAGCCATCCCGACATGGTTTGGTTCTAGTTGCAGCCTCATTTTCCTGCTTTGTCTCCCACCACTTACTGTTCCAACATCACCAGACTGCTTGTTATTCTCTTCATGTGTCACATCATTTCTTCTCTCTGTGCTCTGGCTTATGTTGGCACCCTTGCTTGGAATGTGCTCCTCATATAAGGTCATGATAAAACATTCATCAAATACTAACCTTATTTCCTAGAGAGCTTGCCATGGTCTATTTCAGACAAAGTGTTGCCTTCACTAAGTTGTCTAGCAGTATCTGTGTTTCTCTTATGTAGCACTTGCATCATTCTGCCTTATTGCATCAACCTGTCAATTGATAGAGACCTTGAGACCTAGAGATAATAGGTTGCATCTGAAAACAAAACTCTACTAAATATTTGAGTTGAAACTCTTCCCCCACTAGTTGCTTCTTGTCCCTGCCCCCACATTATTCGGTGTGTTAATTTTCCTGGGAATTTGCTTCTTTTTTCTCCCCTCATTACCAGTGGAATTCCTACTCATCTGCAAAGGTTTTAAAATTCCATTTCCACTAAATCTTTCTGCATCTCTCCCTCATCCCATCCCACTACATGTATGATTTCCTACTGTTAATAGCTACGTTACTTTCTTTAAACATGTAACAAAGTTGATCCAGTATTACTCGGTATATTCAGATACTTGTCTCTCCCCACTCTTCCAATTTAACATCATTCTCTAGATTACTTACTGTATTCCAGGTAGTTTACCAGGGGATGTCCTAGAGGATGTCCCTAAAGGGCTTATAGGCTGGTTAACAGATACATTTTAGTCCATGAGAAGAGTTCCATTTGTCAGATTTCTATAGTTGTGACAAAATACCTGAGATAAAAAAGGAGGAAAGGTTTATCTTTGCTCACGGTTTCAGTCCATGGTTGCTTGGCCCTGTGTGGCAGAACATAACAACAGCAGTGCATGGTGGAAGAAGTTGCTCAACTTATAGGAGCCAGGAAGCAAAGAGAGACGGAGGAAGGGGCCAGGGTCTCATTATCTCCTTCAAGGGCACACGCTCCATATATGTAATTTTGTATAGCAATGAGGGTCTCCCTTCATTTCCATGCAATTTCCCTTTTCTCTCCCTTTCCCTCCCATCTCATGACTCTGTTAAATGTTAATCTTTTCTTCCTGCTCTTCCTCCTTGCTCTGTTCATAGTTGCTCTCATTATATCAAAGAAGACATTTGGTATTTGTTTTTTAGGGATTGACTAGCTTCACTAAGCATAATCTGCTCTAGTGCCATCCATTTCCCTGCAAATTCTATGATTTTGTCATTTTTTATTGCTGTATAGTACTCCATTGTGTATAGATGCCACATTTTTTTTATCCATTCATCCATTGAAGGGCATCTGGGTTGGTTCCACAGTCTAGCTATTGTGAATTGTGCTGCTATGAACATCAATATGGCAGCATCCCTATAAGAGGTTGTGAGGGGAATGGGAAAATAAACAAGGAGAGTAATGAATTACAGTAGATGGGGTAGAGAGAGAAGAAGGGAGGGGAGGGGAGGGGAGGGGGGATAGTAGGGGATAGGAAAGTTAGCAGAATACAACAATTACTAATTGGGCATTATGTAAAATTGTGGATGTATAACCAACGTGATTCTGCAATCTGCATTTGGGGTAAAATTGGGAGTTCATAACCCAATTCAATCTAATGTATGAAATATGATATGTCAAGAGCTTTGTAATGTTGTGAACAACCAATAAAAAAAAAAATAGCACTCCTCCATCTTAAAAAAAAAAAAAAAAAAAGGGCACACGCTCCAATGACCTAACTTCCTTCCACTAGGCCCCACCTCCTAAGGATTCCAGCACCTTCCAGTGGTGCTGCTGGGTGGTAATCAATCTTCAGCACATTGAGGATCCAAACCATAACAACTTGTCATCTTAAGTGATACCATCTATTTATCTATCTATTTATTTATTTATTTACTTATTTATTTAATGCAGAAACCTGTTAGAGTGTGTTCCAGACTGGGCTTGTGAAGCAAAGAAGCTGGAAATATTAGATGTGAGCTATAATCTTCTCACAGAAGTTCCTATGCGGTATGTATGCATAAGTGTGTATATATATATATATATATATATATATATATGGAGAGGGAGAGGGAGAGGGAGGGAGATAGAGAATGTGTGTGTGTGTGTGTGTGTATTGTGTGTATTTAACTATTTCCCTAGATTTGGGTTAGTTCAGTTGACTTTGAGGTGATGTGATGTGCAAAGAGGGATATAGTGATGGCTAATGCAAATGATAAGAAACTTTTTATTATGAATTTATTAAATTGTTATTAATATTAGTAAATATACTGAATTTTTAATATTAATAAATGCTATCTAGACTTAGAATCTAAATGTATTTATTCTAGAAAATGTTTTAGTTTAGATCTCCTCTCTGTTGCTTATCTTTCTAAATTCACTCTTTCTCAGAATGACTTTTAGTGACTTCCTTCTATTCTACATGGTGGATAATGCTCAGGCACTTGTTGGTGATTGTATAATCTAGAAGCAGTGTGTTTCTAATGATTGTTTGACTTTATTAAATAGCCTAGGACATACTTAGAAAGAAAGATATAAGTAAGTTCTTATTTGTTTCTTTGTACCGTCCCCCTTAGAATTCTGAGTAGCTTGAGTCTTAGGAAACTGATGGTGGGACACAATCATGTCCACAGCCTTCCGGTGCTAGTGGAGCACATCCCTCTGGAGGTGCTGGATATCCAGCATAATGTTCTCACCAAGTTGCCGGACACCCTCTTCTCCAAGGCCTTAAAGTGAGTACCAGAGGATTTATGTTTTAAAAGAACAAAATCATTGACTGAACGCATTACATTGATTTGTCATTGGAGTGATTTTTGGAACTGTATTTATCTGATAAATAACTGTGGGTGGAAACTTGGTTGCAGTTTTTTTTTAATTTTTTTTTTAGTTGCAGATGGACACAATATTTTTATGTAGTGCTGAGGATCGAACTCAGTGCCTCACATGTGCGAGGCAGGCGCTCTATCATTGAGCTACAGCTCCTCTGAGCTACAGCCCCAGCCCTTGGTTGCAGGGTTTTTTTTTTTTTTTTAATATTTATTTTTTAGATGTAGTTGGACACAGTGCCTTTATTTTGTTTATTTATTTTTATGGGGTGCTGAGTATTGAACCCAGGGCCTCGCACATGCTAGGTGAGCGCTCTACCTCTAAGCCACAACCCCAGCCTCTTGATTGCGGTTTTTTTTTTTTTTTAATATTTATTTTTTTAGTTTTCGGTGGGCACAACATCTTTGTTTGTATGTGTGCTGAGGATCGAACCCGGGCCGCATGCATGCCAGGCGAGCGCACTACTGCTTGAGCCACAACCCCAGCCCATGATTGCAGTTTTTAATGAAAGAAAATATGGCAGTGTTTCATGTGGCAGTAATCTTTAACTCAAAGTCATAACCATCAAACACTTAAGTTTTTGTGTTGTAAACAGTTTCAGATTGGTTGGGAAAGTTCACACTTTCATTGCAGAAAATGAATACAGTTATGACATTTAAAGAGAAATTGCAACATTTAGATATAGCTTGTTTGAGCAATTTTCAGCTTTTGCATTGTGCAGGAAAGGACATAGGGCTAAAACCAACTTAATTCTAGTTTTGCCAAACCATCTTCGAATTGCATCCATATTTGCACAACTTTTTTGGCTACCTACTTTGAAAACTATGCATTTAAAGGTAATACCCTTCCAAAACGTATTGTTTCCCATCTCCTTGTAAATTAACAAATAGATTATTTGTATTTTAAGATCTTTAATCAGGTTTACCTAATGTGTATGTTATCTTTAAATGACAACCTTTTTTTTTAGTCACTGTTCTTGTCTTTTTTATGGTTCTGGAACTCAAACCCAGGGTCTCACTCATGCTAGACAAGTGTTCTACCATTGAACTACATCCCCAGTCCAAGAAAACTTTTTATTTATTTTTATTTGCTCTTTTTAAAGATACACAACAGTTGAGTATATTTTGACATATTATACATCATGGAGTATAACTTATTCTAATTAGGGTCCCATTCTTGTGGTTGTACACAATGTAGAATTTCACTGGTGGTGTATTCATAGGAGAGTTATGTCCAATTCATTCTACTATCTATCATGTACTCATCCCTACTCCCTTCCCATCCTTCCTTTTTGCCTAATCCACTGAATTTGTATTCTTCCTTCCCTCTGTGTGTGGAATCCACATATCAGAGAGAGCAGTTAGCCTTTGGTGTTTTGGGATTGGCTTATTTTATTTAGCATGTTAGTCTCTAGATCCATCCATTTACCAGCAAAAGTCCTAAAGTCATTCTTCTTTATGGCTGAGTAATAGTCCATTTTATATACACTCACACACACACATCACATTTCTCTTTTTTAAAATATTTTTTCTCTTTAAATTTATTTTAATTTGTTATATATGACAGCAGAATGCATTTCAATTCATATTACACATACGGAGCACAATTTTTCATGACTCTGGTTGTACACAAAATAGAGTCACACCATTTGATATATCACATTTTTTAATCCATTCATCATTTGTTGAAGGGCACCTAGGTTAGCTCCACAGCTAAAACTGTTTTTTTTCAAAATATGGAGATCACAGTACTGTCATTAATTTAGAGATATGAAGAAAACAGATGAGCAATAGTAATTTAACACAGGGTTACATGAAACATACAGAAAGCATTTAGATAGGGTGTGGTGATATACATCTGTATTCTTAGTTACTTGGGAGGCTGAAGCAGAAAGTCTGAAGTTAGCCTGAGCAATTTAGACCTGTCTGAAAAAATAAAAAGGATTGGGATGCAGCTAGAAAAATTACTTGCCTAGCCCTTTGCCTATACCACAAAATAAAAACAACAAAACATTTATCCTACAAGTTTTTTTTCTGTTTAGTAACATATATCTCTTTATGTATAATATCCTTGGTTGGTTATTCCTCAGAATAAAATCTTTGGAGATTCTAATATTTTGAAGGAAATTTTGCTTTGGAAAAATTTGTGTGGAGTCTTGATGCAGTGGTTAGTTAACAAGTATTTATTAGTAATATGTGACATTGCATTTAGTTATGCAGTATTAATAAAATTAGTTTACAGTCTGCCAGGTGTGGTGTTGCACACCTGTAACCCCAGCAGCTGGGGAGGCTGAGGCAGGAGGATTGTGAGTTCAAAGCCAGCCTCAGCAAAAGCAAGATGCTAAGCAACTCAGTGAGACCTTATCTCTAAAGTAAAATACAGAATAGGGTTGTGGATGTGGCTCAGTGGTTGATTGCCTCTGAGTTTAATCCCTGGTACAAAAAAAAAAAAAAATTAGTTTACAATCTTAGAATCTGTAGTAAGGAAGTCACTTAGCTATGTGAAGCTATCAATTTATTTTATACTGACTGCACAGAACAATTTTAGGATAAAGACATGGCAGACACACACTAACTACCCTCAGTAATTTAAAAGCTAATTAGGGATGTGGATCATACAACATGAAGAAGATTTAAGAACACACAAATTTAAGAATATTGGCTTCCTTTTATCAAAAATACTCTATGCATAGTAAACACCATACTGGGAAATTCTTAAGTCATATCATGTTTTACCTATGAGATTGGCACAGATTAACCTGAATTATGATACTTTCAGTGTTGGCAAAAGTGCGAGTGCACTGGCAGTCTTGCATTCATCTTAAGGGAGTGCAATTTGGTATAGTCTTTCTGGAGCTCAGTTTAACAATATGTTTAAGAAATCTTTAAAATATATATCCTTTGATTCCATAAATTCTGTTTCTAGAAATGTATCCTATAGAAATAACTAGGTAAGGACCCAAAAGTGTTCATTACAGTGTCTATAATAGAAGAAAAGCAACAGCCTATATATCCATTATTAGGGGATTATTATGGGATTGGTTAAATAAATAATGATGTTGTTAAAACCAGACAATTTTTTCTGAAGCGTGTCTTCAAAATTTAGATATCTGTGAACACAGAATGCAATAATAATGTCCTTTCAGTAGACATACAGATGGTAATAGATGAGGCTAGGTTAGAGTTGGTTTACTGCAGAAACCTGGGAAAATAGTCACACCATATTATTTCTCCTGTCGTTGGCTTGCATAGTCGAGTAAAAGGAACTTTGGTTTGGATAGATCAATTAGAGTAAAATACCTGGAGAAAGTGGTATTTTGTTGTTGTTGTTGTTGTTTTGTGAGTTTGGGAGCTTGGAATGGCAGCATTCCTTACTGAGGGAGCATGATGGTTTCTATAGAAGGTGGCAACAAACACAAAGGAAATGATGAATTTTGTGTGTTCTGTCAGTCTCAGATACTTGAATGCATCTGCAAACAGTCTGGAGTCTTTACCTTCTGCCTGTGCTGGGGAGGAAAGTCTGAGTGTGCTGCAGCTGCTTTACCTGACCAGCAACCTCCTCACAGATCAGTGCATACCTGTCCTTGTGGGGCATCCACACCTTCGAATCTTGCATCTCGCAAACAACCAGCTACAGACCTTTCCCGCAAGGTGAATGAATGTAAAATGTTATGCTTTGGGATCATAACAATAATTCTGCATTTGTCAGACTAAATCATAGGTTTCTAACTGTGACACTTCCTTTATAAGTTGACTGGCTTACTGATACTGTGATTTCACTAGTCCCAAAGGAAAAAATCTCATCTTAATAGTTTGTACCCAGTTATTAAATACCAGTACCAAGAGAAATTATGGTTAAAATGTGTTTACTTTTTAGTTCTAATCATTTAATAATTATCTGAGAACGTTCAACCTGGGAAAGTACAACCTTATGAAATAAAGAAATTCTGAAGATAATTTTTTCTTTTATCTTTTTAGCACTGTATTACAAATATTGTTGTCTGTTTACTATATGCATATATATGTATATATAAGATGCCTACTCTATGCCAGATACTAGGTACTAGTTGGTTCTCAAGGAATCTAGAGCCATATTGAGGAAATACACAAGTATCTGGGCAGTTGCTATACAGTGTGACAAATGCTAGGTGTTAAAGATGGGCACAGGTTGCCAGCTCTGCTATACAGAGCTTGGGGTGGATGAGGCCTGGAGGAAGAGATGAACAGAAGCTAGCCAGGCTACTCTGTAAGAAGATAAGAGAGATGGTTAAGGCTCTCAAAGTTTTAGACAGTGTTGGTAGAGAAATATCTTTCAAAATACACTTGATTAAAAAACAATTTTACACCAGAAAAATCCATCTATACCATGAAATTATTAATTAAAAATTATACTTTTATAAGTAAGAACATGGAGGAAATGTCATGATACAATTTGAATTAAATGTCATAAAATTATACAATGTTTAATATAATTTGCATGATTCTGATTTTGCAGATTTTCTTGGAAATGTGATAAATTCAGAAAAAAATGAGTTTAATTATTAAAATATTAAGGGTTTTTGAACATTCATGAAATGAGAGTAGAGTTTAAGATAACAAACAGCCCAGCAGCTCGGGAAGCTAACCCAGTGGCTAGGAGGCCGAGGCAGGAGAATTGCAAGTTCAAAGCCAGTCTCAGCAAAAACAAGGCGCTAAGCAACTCAGTGAGATCCTGTCTCTAAATAAAATACAAAATGGAGCTGGGGATGTGGCTCAGTGGTCGAGTGCCCCTAAATTCAATCCCTGGGACCACCACCCCCTGCTCAAAAAAAGAAAAAAGAAGACAAACAGTATGAACTCGGTTATTTTCTTGAAATAGTTCAAACAGTGACATTTAAATTGAATGTAGAATCTTAGTTTTAGGATGTAGTAGATATCTTAAAATCTTATCACATTAATTTAAGTAGCCTCATTGATAGACCACTGACAGAATATATTCATTTGTGAAACTGATGAATAATACCAGATTTTCTGTTCTGAAACTAATGACTCTCACCCAATTTGATGACACTCTTGTTGGAGGGATCAAAAGCAGGCTAATATAAAACTGAAAACATGTGAAAGAAAATGAAAATAAAAAGTATTAAAGATGAGAAATAGGAAGAGATGACACAAAATTAGAGTGATCCAATTATAAAACTAAATGGAATTTAGGAGCCATGTATTTAAGAACATACTAATTTTATATTGAGTAGCAATCCTCTATCAGGGCATTTCCTGAACAATATTAAAACTCAGGTACAATTCAAGTCTTCTTTCTTTTGTACAATTTTCAGAATCTATCACAGTTGTGGGTACTTGGAAAGAAGCTGATTAAGATATGAATACTGCAATTCTATTTACAAGTTAGAAAAATCAAGGTAGGAAGTAGCATAAGGGCAAAGCATGAAAATTGGACATGGGAATGTTTAAAATATATTAAGTTAAAAAAATAAGTAATAATTCAGGCATGGTGGTGCACACTTGTAATCCCAACTATTCAGCCTGCAGAATTATAAGTTTAAGACTAGTTTAGGCAATTTAGCAAGACTCTGATTCAAACTAAAAAAATAAAGAGGGCTGGGGTTGTAACTCAGTGGTAAACCACCCCTGAGATTAATCCCTAGTACTAATCACACACAAAAGTTATAAAACAATTCATCTTTAATATTACAACATTTTTAAAATTTGAAAAATACAGTTTTATGCTTTAAAGATAAGAATACTATTACCAAAATGTCATCAGGGATTATCTCTGGTAGCAGAATTAAGAGGGTTTTTATTTTCTATTTTCTCATTTATTTTAGTGATTATGCATTATTGTACTAAAGAAAATTTTTTAGTTAAAATATTTGTGGATTTTTTAGCAATAGAATATTTGTGAAAGATAGGACATGAAATTAATGTAAAACAAATACTCATTTGAGAAATTTGGTAGGAAATTCAATAAAATTATAATAATTACTCTTTCAGGTTGCTAGTTTATTGCTAATTATTTTCTGAACTTTTTCTCCATATTATAGCAGTTTATTTTTATAATTTTTTAAACCAATAAATTAGAGCAGTTGGTATTCTGGATAAGGGTGTTGATTTTAGGAGCACTTTGAGTCCCAAGCATAGTGCTGTGTGTACAAACAAGAGCCTGATAAATATTTAGTGGAGATAAATTAGGTTTTGAATAGGTAACTAGAAATTTAAATCTGAAAGGAATCTTGGTGATGATTTAGTACAATTTCTTCATTTTATAGCTGAGGCTGTTGAGGTCTGTTTGATAGTACTATACTAGTTAGCTACTAATATAGCTAATTAGTGGTGAAGCAAGGACTAGAATTAATCTCTTAACAATAGACCCATGCTTTTTCAGCTCCTTGCAAGTTAGATAACAGGAAGATGTGTGTGTTCAACAGCTTTCAGAAAATCAAGGGCACTGTCAGCCCTCAAAACACACTTGAGTGGGAGATCAGGTACAAAGATAGCAGAGCCATTTATGGTGGAGAGCCTGACTGGTGTCCAGTTGTTTCCTATCACTAGTCCTCTGAGGTCCAGTCCTCTCAAGTACACCAAGCTGGCCTTCCATGCTCAGGGGCTGTAAAATAGCACTTACTTGGCAGTTGTTGTTGTTTTGGTGTAATGTGGTATTTTGATATTTCTTTTTCAGTAAACTAAATAAATTGGAGCAATTGGAGGAACTGAACTTAAGTGGCAACAAGCTTAAAACCATTCCTACAACCATAGCCAACTGCAGAAGGCTGCACACCCTTGTTGCACACTCTAACAACATCAGCATTTTCCCAGAAATATTGCAGTTGCCTCAGATCCAGGTAATTTGATGTGCTGGAAGAAGTCCTGGTGGGGGAAATAGCCAGCGTGTGAATGAGATGCCTTTTTTTGAAGCAGGGTGGAGGGGGTGTGTGCTGGGTTAGAACCTGCCTCACACTTGCCAGGCAACTGTGGGTCATGTCCCCAGTCCAGAGATGCTTCTCTTCTTAGAAGGAAGAAGAAAGGAGTGTAAATGAGATTGTTCTTTTATAAGGAAGAAATAATATTCTAACATACTCAGATTGGAATTCAAGTATGCTTAATTCATTCCTGGGAAGAAACTAAGTTATCCTTAGAAGATATAGTAGGAGATTGACTATTGGAAATAAAGAACTAAACTAGAATTTATTTTATTTTGATTTCTGTTTCTTCTCAGTTTGTAGACCTAAGTTGCAACGACTTGACAGAAATTCTAATTCCAGAGGCTCTGCCTGCTACGTTACAAGACCTTGACCTAACTGGAAACACAAATCTGGTTCTGGAACACAAGACACTGGACATGTTTAGGTGGGGAAAACAATCTGAAATTAAATCCACATGTGTCTAGAGGCCCACCAATCATCTGTGGATCTTCTTTAGGACTGTGGACTCTCAGTTAATTAAAGGAACAGAATGAATTAGATCAGAAAGACCTTAGGTTCTCTTCTTTGATTTTGATTCAGCTATAAATGGATGTTCTATTTCATAGTCAGTCCATTTATGTACAACTAAGTGCCATGTGGAATATTTTTACATGGAAGGCACAGATATTTTAGGTGGCACAGGTCACATTACAACATCTGAGAGACAGTATATGTTAATTCATGCACCAAAGCTTTATTGTATTACAATACTTAAAATAAATAGATGGTTGGCTGAAACTTACATGTCCCATTAATTGTAATGATATTTGTCTCTGTTTTTCCTCCTATCCCTTTCCTTTATTCTGCATCCAAGCCAGCGGGTTCATCATACTACTTTCTTTTAGCCTGTCTGGAAATACATCTTAGTCTTTCAAGAGATTGTTTTATAAAAACATGTTATTGTTTGGATAGTTTTTTAAAAATATAATAGACAATATGGTATAACCTTCTTTCCTTCTACAGCCACATCACAACCCTGAAAATTGATCAAAAACCATTGCCAACCACAGATTCTACTGTTACATCAACCTTCTGGAGCCATGGACTGGCTGAGATGGCAGGACAGAGAAATAAGTGAGTATGTCGGCCATAGAGGCTAAGAAAGAAAAAAAGCAGCTCCTGCCATCTGGGGACTGGGCTGATGCTCACAGCTGGGCCACAGTAGTTCTGTTGTGCATAAACAAATCACAGAATGTCACCATCAGATAAGATCCCTGAGACTCAAGTAAAGTAAACAAAATGAATGTGCAGGCCACAGAATACCCAGCAGCCCCCTCACAGCTCTTTCCTCATGCTAATTTTCCTTCTCTGTTGATAAGATTTATTGAGGGACTCAACTCTGTAATTGCCCCGATTTCTGATAGCCTACAATGTGATATGATCCTCCATTTCTCAGACTCTCCCAAAAGTGACCCATCCAAAGCCCACATCCTATACTAGGTTCTTTCCAGCACCCTCTTTTTATACAGTCCAGGATTCCATGGTGTGCATTCTTCCTTCCTGCAAGGAATACTAAACCCAACTTCAACCATAGGTATGCTGTGATGGTCTTTGGAATTGAAAGACAACATCGATGAAGCCAGTCTCTAATCACTTCTACAGGAACATATGTCACCTTGCCAGCCTTTAACAGTCTTGCAAAGCTGTGTAAATTGCCCATGAATGGGACTGAATTTCACCTTTCCTTAGGACATCAGGTCTTACAAATCCTGCTTACTTCTGGGGACATTTTTCATGTATAAAAATTTATCACATTCTTCTCTACCTTCAGTTAATAATTATTTATTTACTTTTGGTCCTGGGGTTTGAATTCAGTGGTGCATTTACTACTGAGATACTACCACAGCCCTCCCCCACCCCCTTTTTTTTGAGACAGGGTCTTGATAAGTTGCTTAGGGCCTCGCTAAGTTGCCTGGGCTGGCCTTGAACTTCCAATCCTCCTGCCCCAGCCTCCTGAGTTGGCTTGGATAATAGTCATGCATCACTGTACCCCGCAAATAACCAATTTTTAAAAGGATGCTCCCTGAGGAATAATTGTTTACCAGAAGCTTTCTTTGATGATTGTATTTCTTATCTTTCTATTCTAGGCTATGTGTGTCTTCCCTAGCTATGGATAACTTTGCAGAGGGGGTTGGAGCTGTATATGGCATGTTTGATGGGGACCGAAATGAGGAGCTTCCACGCCTGCTGCAATGTACAATGGCAGATGTGCTTTTGGAAGAGGTACAGCAGTCAACAAATGACACAGTTTTCATGACCAACACTTTTTTGGTATCTCACAGGTAAGCAGGTGGGTTGAATAATCCCTAACTCAGCTCTACCTTTGGAAAATAAATCTGAGTCAGAAGGTGAAGGTCTAAATTATGGGTGCCAGATCAAGGAGAGACCCACTCCTTCCATGATTATACATCTCAGTATCAGCAGGGATTGTGGGAACATTGGCATGTCATAGAGCCTTTGGAGTCATGTGCCCTCTCTGTTGAACCCAAAGGCTGCTCTTTATGTATAGAAGATTGTGTTTTTATGGATGTATTTGTTCTCCAAAGAGTCAAAAGCCTACAAAAGGTTAACATGCACTGGTCAGATTCATTTGTTTAGAATACTTTGTACTGGAGATTTACCCAACTAAGGTTTTTCATTCAAGTCTAAACCACTGAACCAGATATGGTGGCACATTCCTGTAATCCCAGTGGTTTGGGAGGCTGAGGCAAGACAAGTTCAAAGCCAGTCTCAGATATTTAGCAAGGCCCTAAGTAACTTAGACTCTGTCTCAAAACAAAAAAAGGGCTGAGGATGTGACTCAGTGGTTTAGTACCCCTAGGTTCATTTTCCTGGTGTCCCCCACAAAAAAGTCTAAGCCACTTAAGGGCAAAACTCCCAACTACTGAAAATCTTAGTAGGTAATGGAGTGTCTTGCACATCTGGTGGGCTGCATAAAAGGATATGAACAACTAAGAGGCTGTAAACTTGTATACTCAAGGCTGAAATGGAACAGTCTAGAGCTCAGGCCAGTTTTAACTGTCATTTACACAAAGCATTGTGTTGGAAAAGGAGTCCACTTTTCTATAGAACTGAGCTGGATACTTGACAAAATTAAGGGTTTTGGAACTCAATTAAGAAGTACCTTCGAAGAACCAGGCAAGGTACCATGCATTTTTCATCCTCTTTTTTTTTTTTTTTTAAATACTGGGGATTGAACCCAGGGATGCTTTACCAATGAATTACATCTCAGTCCTTTTTATTTTTTATTTTGAGACAGGGTCTCACTAAGTTGCTGAGAATCTCATTAAGTTGCTGAGGCTGGCCTTGAACTTGGTATCCTCCTGTCTCAGCCTCCCAAGTTGCTGAGATTAGAGGCCTGTGCCCTGTGCCCTGTGCCCAGCTTCATCCTATATCTTTAATTATCAAAACAAAGCAAACAGGTAGATATTTTATCAGAGAAATTTCTTAGAGAAATAACTTGATGAGAATATGTAGCCAATAAATGATAGAGCTGGAATTTGAAACTAGATTCTTCTGGTAGTATCTGCTCTGTGTTAGTATTGTGTCCTAAGGGCAGGCAGTTCTCAATGTATTTTTCCAGGACTGGTATCCTGACCATCTTCAGAAACTTATTAGGCCAGCCCCTTGCCCAGTGAATCAGAAGCTCCAGGGCTAGGTCCAGCAATCTATGCTCTAACAATCATCAGACTCTCCAGATGATTCTGATATGCTGAAGTTTGAAAACCCCTGATTTAGGAAGACTTTGATCAGACAGACAAGCAATAGAGAAAGATGCACCTGCACTGTCCATCCCCCACTCTCTCTGTAAAGTTCTTTTTTTCCCATCAGCTGAGAGTCAAAGGCAGTATCACCCATAGCAAGAGTCAGCCTTCAGGTGGATAGGGGTGAGGCTGCTTCACAATCCTATGGCAGAAGAATGAGGGAAGGATGGGTATGAAAGACTGCCACTTTTAAACTAGCCACTGTGTCCTCATTTTTCTTTCTTTTTAAACAGGAAATTAGGAATGGCTGGTCAGAAGCTGGGTTCCTCTGCTCTTCTGTGCTACATCCGCCCTGACACTGCTGATCCAACAAGTAGTTTTAGCTTGACTGTGGCTAATGTTGGCACGTGCCAAGCAGTCCTGTGCCGAGGTGGGAAGCCAGTGCCCCTTTCGAAAGTTTTCAGCCTGGAACAGGACCTGGAGGAGGCACGAAGGGTGAAGGATCAAAAAGCCATCATTACAGAGGTGCATCTCGCTTTCTGCCAGTCACTTTTGCTTCCCAATTCTAGCGAAAAGTGCTTTGAATGGAGGCAGTGAAGGTCCATTTTCTTCCTGTCATACCTTGTAAATTGTATTCAATGTAGTAAATGTTCATTTCAGATGGTTTCAGTAAGAGCGCTAGAAGAAAATCTGAGCAGTTAAGGACTAGCAAAAAGAAGAAGCAAAATTAATTTAAAAAGTCCTAATTTGCAATTAGGACTTTTAAATGAATAGCTAACAAGTAAAATGAATGTTGTGTCTCATTTAGTTCCCAGCTCATCTACTTTGCTATTCCAAACAAGAAAAAAGATTTCTATTTATTTTTTTATTTTTATTTTTTGGTACCAGGGATTGAACCCAGGGGCACGTAACCATTGGCTACATCCCCAGTCCCCCACTTTTAAAATATTTTTTATTTTAAGACTGGGTCTCTTTGAGTTGCTTAGGGTCTCACTAAATTGCCGAGGCCTGACCTTGAACTTGTGATTCTCCTGCCTAGCCTTCTAATTCTCTGGGATTACAGGTGTGTACCCCGATGTCTGGCTCTACTTAATCTATTTTTTTTTTAATGGATTGTTGTGCTTTTGGTGTTAGATCTAAAACCTCGTTGGCAAACTCAAGATACTCATATTTTCTTCTGTGTTATCTTCTAGGTATTTTATAAAAGTTTTGATTTTTACACTTAGGTCTTAGTCTGTTGTGAATTAATTTTTGTGAAAAGCGTAAGGTCTGTGTCTAGATCTTTTTTTTTTTTTTTTTCATGTGATGTCCAGCTGTGCTGGCACCATTTTTTAAAAAGATTATTCTTTCTCCACTGTATTGCCTTTGCTCCTTTTTCAAAGATCAGTTGGCTATTATTTGTGTGGACTCTACCACTGAGCTACATCTTTCCTACCCCACTTTGTTTTAGACAGGGTACTAAGCTGCCAAAGCTCGCCTTTAACCTTAGCTTCTCCTGTTTCAGCCTCCCAAGTATCTGGGGTTTCAGGTGTGCGCCACTGCATTTTTATGTTATTTTAACCATGAATAATTTTTATCTATTATTTTCCAAGTACTATTCCTTTAGAGTTTTGTTTAATATTACAATAACCCCCATTTTATTTTCATTTTCCAGATGATGAAAATAGTTTAGTTTGTGGCAAATTCTGATTAATAAAGCCAGAGAGTGACTGCAAGTGTCAAATTAATTTATTGATGATTTCAGAGTTTTTGTTTTTTGGTTTTTTTTTGGTTTTTTTTGGAGAAAAATCAATAAAATCAATTTCCACATATGAAATTCCCAACCTGCACCCAGGGATTTCCTTTTCATCTAAGTTTAGAATGATAGGGGATCCTATTTTAATCTGCTGTTCATTCTTGGTGCAGCCCTACAGAGTAGGTAAATTATGCTACATATTTCAGACTTTCCCTTTAGGCCAAATAACCATAGAGATCATTTAGGACTTTAGCTACTTAGAGTTTTATCCATTGGAAGTCTTTTCAGTTACCAACTGCCTTTAAATGAGAAATTATTTTTAGTGATATATCTGAGTTTTGACCTAAGAGTACTAGGGATGGGAGAATTAAAGACAATTTTGCTCATTATATGTCTAACATGTTCCTCGCAGCATATCCTTCATGTCAGGACAAATATCTTGTGGCTCAAGCGGTAATGTGCTCGCCTGGCATGCGTGGGGCACTGGCTTCGATCCTTAGCACCATATAAAAAAAATAAAAATAAAGATGTTGTGACCACCAAAAACTGAAAAATATACAATATTAAAAAAAATTCTCTCTCTCTCTCTAAGAAAAAAAAAAGAAGAAGAAGGTGGTTCCTGGAGTTCACTTAAAATTGTGCTTATCCTAGGGCACATCATATAATAACATAAATAATTTTATTTATTTTAAAATGTTTTGGAGAATGAAAATGTTGCATGTTTTTGTTGCTTTCTCAAAATTTTTATTCTGCTCATCTCTAGGATAACAAAGTGAATGGGGTAACCTGTTGTACCCGGATGCTGGGCTGTACATACCTTTATCCTTGGATCCTCCCCAAGCCCCATATATCTTCCACACCACTTACTATTCAAGATGAATTGCTGATTCTGGGAAACAGAGCATTATGGGAACACTTGTCATATACAGAAGCTATTAATGCAGTGCGTCACGTACAAGATCCATTAGCAGCTTCTAAGAAACTGTGCACATTAGCACAGAGCTATGGCTGTCAGGATAATGTGGGGGCCATGGTGGTTTATTTGAACATTGGTGAGGAAGGCTGCACTTGTGAAATGAATGGACTCACCCTCCCAGGACCTGTGGGATTTGCTTCCACCAGCACCATCAAGGATGCTCCTAAACCAACCACTCCTTCCTCCAGTAGTGGCATTGCCTCTGAGTTCAGCAGTGAGATGTCCACCTCGGAGGTGAGCAGTGAAGTGGGCTCCACTGCTTCTGATGAACATAACACTGTGGGCCTGGAGGCTGGTTTGCTTCCACGGCCAGAGAGGCGCTGCAGCCTCCACCCAGCACCCACCTCTGGGGTGTTTCAGCGCCAGCCTTCTTGTGCAACCTTCTCTAGTAATCAGTCTGACAATGGCCTTGACAGTGATGATGACCAGCCTGTTGAAGGGGTCATAATCAATGGCAGCAAGGTAGAAGTAGAAGTAGATATCCACTGCTGCCGAGGAAGAGATCTTGAGAGCTGTCCTACCCTTACAGAGAATTCTTCCACCCCATGTCCTGAGGAACATGCTAGAGGGTTGTTTTTTGGGATCCGGAGACAGAACAGTGTAAATAGTGGCATACTTCTGCCAATGTGTAGGGACAAAATGGAGTTACAGAAGTCTCCTTCTACTTCCTGTCTCTATGGCAAGAAGCTCTCCAATGGCTCAATTGTGCCCCTAGAAGATAGCCTGAACCTCATTGAAGTGGCCACAGAAGCACCCAAGAGGAAAACTGGCTATTTTGCTGCCCCTACTCAGCTGGAGCCAGAGGATCAGTTTGTTGTACCTCGTGACCTGGAGGAAGAAGTGAAGGAGCAAATGAAACAGCATCAGGAAAGCAGGCCTGAGCCCGAGCCCAGTGAAGAGGATCGGACCGAGCCCCCAGAGGAGTTTGACACAGCGCTATGATTCTGCCACTGTTGCGGGCACAGTGTGAGAAAAGGCTTTTGTGGTGTTGGGGAGGGACCCTTCCAGAGGCATTTTGCCTCTGTGTTTCTAACCAGAAATGTGTGGGTAAAACTCAAGAGCCCAAAAAGGTGAGAGCTTTCAGGGCCTGACCCTGGATGAGCCAGTACCACCATCAGTGTTAAGTTTTGCATTTAACCTGCATTGGAATTCCCAGAGTTACTGGGAGGAAAGCAGAAGTTTTTCTCTGTCAGTCCTACCACCTGCCATTAACCCTTTCTTTCCTAGGATCATTTTGAGAATTTGCCTGCCTGGGCAGGAAAGGGACTATTTCTGTGGAGGAAATAACTGAAGGTTGATTCCCTTTACTAATTGCTGCTGATGGATCTCCGTGACAGAGAAATCACCTTATCTTTCAGACTAACTAATGGGGTGTGATGTGACTAGTCACATGGCTTTTCATTCTTCTCTACGAGAATATAGCCTATCAAAATGATGTTTATTGGAGATGTAGAACCAATCAAACAGATAATTTATGTAAGTAATGTAATGAGAGCACTTTTCATTGACTGTGAACTTTTTATTTTTGAATCTGCACTCGAGCCAATCTTCTTAGAGGCAGCCCAACACCTTTGTCCATAGGCAGAGAGATAATTGGGTATTGAAGCCTTCTGTGAGGGTACTTGGAAAGGCCCTGGATTGAGCTATTGGATGTCAAAGTGTGAAAGCTCCTGAGGAACATGAGGTAGAGAGGAATCTTCTTTTGGGGATAAAGCTGGGGAAGGAGCAAAGACTTCCTTCCCCATATCAGAAAAAGAGTCATTCCTTAACAGATGTGATACCCACTAGGAATGTGATTTCAGCAGATCACAAGGTAGGCACTTGGGGATTGGCCTCTTTCCCTTACCATGTGGTAGAATTGGCAGCCAGCTTCCTGACAGGCAGGGCCAACACCAGCACTGCTGGCATCCAGGAATCTTGAATTAGAGCAGATGATTCCCAAACAGATGGAGGCTATGTGAGAACAGATGGGTGGATGGAGCTCACAGGTTAGATGTGTTCCTTCTTTCTCCAAAGTGAGAAATGGTTTTCTAGAATGTTGGAAGTGAGTTGTCAAACCTTGCACTAAAGGTTTGACAATGTACCTATCTGAAAACTGCTAACTCACTTCATGTGGTTTCAGAGTACTGGACTCAATACCAATATAAGACAGACTCGAGAAATTCTTAACTTGATTTTTTCTTTCTTTTTTTTTTTGCACATTCCACATAACTCTAGCAAAATGCAATTCCTTCTGTATGTTTGTTGCTTTTTCCATTAAAAGATTTTCTTAAGCAAACTAATTCCTACTTCTAGTCCTACAAAATTTTGGCATTGCTTGATTTTACCCATTGAGAAATGTGCTTTGAAGTTTTAAGACATTTCATAGTTTGAAAACAAGAAAACAGAGTGGAACCATTTTTAATTTGTTTCATCAGAAACAAAATGTTAAATATAATGTTGGAAGTATATGTTAATTTCTTTGTGGGTTCTTTTTGGGAGGGTTTGGGGGGAGTTTTTGTTCAAAGCAATAGTCAAAAATTAGATGATCTGTCCACAAATAGTTATGTCTCCTCATTCTCTCAGAGGCCCCATACCCATGTGCATGTGTCATTAGGGTACATTCTTAGGGAAAGTACCCCATTCTGTATACCCCATTGGCTACTTAATGTTCAACTCTCAAGAATTTGAACTTGAGTCCCCAAATCATCAGGAACACTTGACTTCCTTCTGTCAAACTACTGATCAGCTACTGAAAAAATTTAGAACTCAGGTCTTTGATTTGAAGTGGGGAATATGGTGGCTCATACAAAGTTTAGGTGCTGTTAGAAAGATGGGTACAATAGTATGTTGCCACCTTATTTTTATATGGGAATGAAAAAAGAAAATGAAGGAAAAACCCAAGATGTTAGTGATGGGTGATATCAAACATCTTCCTACTCAGACAGCAGAACCTTTGGGTTCTGAATAGACTAGTGAGTGATGTTGTCTAAAAATTAAAGCTATTTTGGGAAAATACCACTTTAGTAGTATAGTCTTATAAAAATTGTCATTTATCTATGACTACTTTTCTTCTATTTGTTTCCTGTCCTACTTATTGGAACCACCTCAAAACCCAGGTCCATATTGACCTTTCCAAAAGTAGTGTGTTTGCTTTTTGGTCAACAAAACTCTGAAATTCCACATGTATTTTGATGTGGTGGAGTTATTTTCAGGTACCATTAGGTCTGATGAAAACCTCTATTATAGGATATACCAAAACTGATTATTATTTTTTTTGCAACTTCCTTTCATTCATGTCCTTCTATAATTGTTCTGTATTAAAACAGAAGGTTAAAAGGCCATAGTTCATTACCAAAAATACATACCCCATTTGACCTATGAGGTAATTGACAGATGTTGTGTTATCTGAGTAGGCTGTCAAATGAAAGCCAGTAATCTGTCTGCAAATGAGTGTCATTTTCTCAATACCTTAACTCAGAGGGTATGTTCCCCGGGTGGGCAGAATACAGGTGATCCCTAGCATGGAGAGCCTGGTCTCTGCCTGATTCTTGGGTCTCTGCATGTACCTCCCACTTCACAGAGTTTAAGATCATTTCTGGGGAAAAAAAAAAAAAAACAACTCCTGGTTATGGGTGCAGTTCAGGAGTCCCATGGGGAAAGGAAAATACATGTGGCTTGTCAGCCAAGTATCCTTATTTTTATCCAAATGGATTGGAAATACATCTGAAATTTCAATGTTGGTATGACATAAAGCTCTAGTGCTACCATAGTCAAATCATTGAATTACCATTTCTGACGTAGTGAGGGCTTTATTATACTACTGTAGAGTGTATATGTGCAATAAGTCATTGAACACATTTTCCTGGCGTACAGAAGAGCCACCACGAGCAACATGGCATCACTGGGTGCTATTACAATTGCTTGTAGCGAGTGCTATTTTCCAGGAGATGGAGCCAGTTACGTTTGGCAGATCTATTAAATGATGCTCTTCTTTCTATGTAGACCTTCAACAAAAGCAGGTACTTGGAAGCCACAGGCTCACCTTCTTTATCTATTCAATAACTATCAATGAAGAGACCTCCATAAGGGAGCATTTGGCTGTTAATTATAAATGTATCAATTACTAAAGAATTAGTCTCCAAGCCATCCAGTGATGTCCACAGCATCACTGTAGAACTGTCTTGTCACTTTTTACTTCCCTCTGGGTGGAGCCTTCCAGACTCCCCAATCATGGACACAAGTTATTCTTTCTTTCCAGTTAGTGACTTTGCCCTGTGGTTGGGTAAGTACTTCCTAGACTGAGAAAATCGGCTACAGTCAAACCTGCTCTGTTTCCCTCATTTGGTGATTAATCAGTATAAGCTCCTTGTATTCTAAATCTCATGCACCTCTCCCAGATGCTGTAGGGTTTCTCTAACTGTTGCCACTGGATGTCAGCCAGACAGTGGGCTCATATCTATGGTTTTGTGCAATCATCGTTGTATTGTAGTCCTAAGACTCATTATAGTGTATTTTTGATATTTTTGAAATGTGTTAAATTTTTTAATTCAATAATATGAGCCAGAGCATGTTGCAGCAAATCTATTGTTTGTAAAAAATAATAATAACAATAATAAATAAAATAAAATGGAATATCTTTTTCATGCCTTTGTTTTAAAATGGAATGCTTGTTATTTTACAAATATTTTAGCATGAATCTAGAATTTTCTCCCTAACTTTTATTATAGAATTAGGTTCTTAACCAAAAGTAGTAGATCTTTCTCTCTTTTTAAAAATATTTTTTAGTTGTAGTTGTACACAATGTCTTTATTTTATTTATTTTTACATCATGCTGAGGATCGAACCCAGGGCCTCGCACTTTACCACTCAGCCACAACCCCAGCCCCTTTCTTCTCTTTCCTGCTTCAGGAAGATAAGCAAGAACAAACACGTGAAGTATATTTCATGACACTTTGAGGCTATGTGAGTTAAGGCAAAATATTCTTTGAAGGGAAAGCAAGAAATGAGACAGGTAAACAAGAAATGAAAGGCGGAGACCAGGCAGAGATACACTCGAGAATTTATTTATCAGAACTGACAAATAAAAGCCATCTCTCTATAGTGGAGAGAGGGGCAAAACAGGCTTGGGTTCCAAGACTTTTATAGGGCAGGCTCAGCAATCAGAGTTGGTCCCTAATGCGGGTGGTTAAGGATTGGGTTGGTATGAGGGAAAGGTGAGCCTTTCTCAGAAAGGCCTTTGGGCAGGAAAGCAAAACTTTTTCCTTAATATGGCAGCTGTCACTTAAGATGGCCATCAAGATGCTAAGCAAGGACCTTATATTCTTGATCACTTTTGTATTAGCTTTATATCACTGTAACAAAATATCTGACACAGGTTACTTTTGAAGAAGAGTTTGGGAGCTTTAGGGGCATGGCACTGGCATTGGTTCAGGTCTCAGCTGTGTCATGTCATGGTGGATGGCAATGGCAGAAGCATGTTTGGGAGCCAGCAATTACATCTCACATCAAGGAGCAGAGAGAGCTGTGTGGGACCCAACTTAGGCTTTTATATAACAATCCCCTCAGAACTACCAGAGGATCCCAGGAGACCCATTTTCTGAGGACTTGTACCCAGTGACCTAAGGTCCTCCTCCCACAAGATCTCATCTCCGATTAGCGCTACCCTGTGTATCAGGCCTTCAATCACAGTGGACTCTTGGGGGACACTCGAACTACAAACAAACAGCACCATTTCAAGTGAAATAGCAATAAAGGTTTTTAAGAAACATCATATCCTGACTTGGTTCATATGTTCCCAATGATGGGAAGCAGTCCTTATTTACATGAAGGTTATTAGCTGATCAGAAGAAACTCGATTATAAATGATCTGCAGCTCTTAAATAATCACAAAGTGGGTGATGACGGGCTGTGTGCAGAGTGGGCCGACACATGTTCCATAACATAATGGCTTCATGGTAGAACTTCAGTTTAGTGGTTTTTGCTTCTAACATACTTTTAATCTACTTAGAGCCTACAAATGGGTGCTGCCATCCTTGCCCCCACTGTTGTCTCCTGACTTCCAAGGAAGATTAGCTACCTTGCTCCAAATAAAGGCCATGTTAAAGGCATTTTGCAGATTTCCTCATCTAGAGAATGAACATTTTGAAAACTTAGGTTTGACAACTGTTGCCTCAACACCTGATTACTGGTTACTACACCACCATCTACTTTAATACCCTAGTTCCATAAGATATGCCTCCCTGGTCCAGGGTGGCAGAAACATTTCTTTGGGTATGTTCTGCACTTCATACAACATTCCCTAGGACACTGAAGGCAAAAGCATGTTAGTCACCATCAGGTGATTCAGTAGATCTGAGCTCTGTTACATGAAAGTTTTGTCATTTAGGCAAGTTATGGCACTTTCCTAAGGCTTGCAAACTCATGTGCTCTCAATTCTCTCAGCTGAGAATTGAACTGAGTGCCTCATGCATGCTAGGCAAACACTCTGCCACTGAGCTGCATCCCCACCCAGTAGTTCTTATTTGTTAAGATAGTATCTGTCATCAGTCATGAACTTAAATAAGAGGACCCAAAGTACTTGAGCATAGTGATGTACTTGGGCCATAGCATTCAATGAAATGTTAATTATTGGGTAAAACACTTGGTGGTCTTGAACCTTGTTTTCTATAACACATGAATAACAAATCTTGACAAGTGGTGAATAAGTGCTAAAGCTTTTGAACCTTATAAAACTGTGGACATGCATGAGTATTGTCAAAGTCACCCATAGGCTCCTATCAGTGAAGAGAGCTGCATCTCAGGAGCAGTATCCCAGCTGGGCCTGGGCACAAAGCTGAAGTCAAGTAGTCCAAAGTCCCCATTTTATCTAGCAAAAGGCCCAGCATGGGCAAAGATCATTTAACAGGGACATGATCTTTGAGAATAAACGCTAGTTGAGACCAGTGTATTGTCCTCTTGAGGAGTGGGTGTTTGTTTTTTACTGCTGTTAAAATCTCTGCCACTCAAGAGAAATTTGTGTGGACTCTAGTCACTGCCCCAGGCTAAGGGTGACAGGAAGCACCTTTCTGTGGCATAGTGGACTTTATTCCAACTGAGCAATAGAGATTTCCAGTTGGTTGTTTTCTTCCAAGCTTTGTTCTCTCATTTCTTTGTGAATTTTACTTCTGATTTTTTTTTTTTGTCTTGGATAGGTTCATAAGAATTAGCTATGGAAAAGCAAGAGAATGCGAAAAAGACCCAGATAAAGAGAATGTGAATATTTCTAGTTGGATCTGACACAAACGGAAACATTTGAGACTAACTGTAAAGTACAAGAACAGGTATAACACTTCAGATGACAATTACTGAAAAGACGTTTAACATTCCATGTCAGAAATCTGTCACATTATGAAGATGGTGCAGGGGGATGAGGGTCACTATGTTCCTTGGAAGGCCTGCAGGTAGGGGAATGCAGAAGTGAGAAGTTCTCCAATTAGCCTTTGGAGTCTAGTAAATTAACTGCTTTATCTTTGAAATTAGTTGAATGACATCTTTAAGAAGCTTGTGAGTTTTCTCACTATTTGGAAACCTCATGTTTAAAAAAATTTAAAATACTTCAAAATGAATTCCAGTGGATGGGAATAGAAACCCTCTTGGAATAGCTGGTAGGAAATATTCTCCCTGAGCCCCGAGGCAGGGGGCCTGAGGACGATCAAGCTTGCTGAAAACATCTCTTTCCCAGAAACCCAACTCCCATCTCTTAAAGAAGGGGGCTGCTTGGCAGTATGCCGGTGCAGGGGACACTGGTGACACTCAAACAGAAGAATTCTTCCCCTCTGGGGACAGGGGAGATTTACCCATTTAGAATTCACTCACAGCACTGCTTTACAGTCTTTCCCTGGGACCAAGCAAGGATTGCTTATTCCTTTTGACGACTCAAGATAGTTATGACAGGTGAGATTTCTACTATAACGCTGGACATGTTACCCTCGGATGTGTTGTTCTCAGCTTCTGAAATTTCTCTGGCTAGTTGGCTATTTCTACCATTATCATATGGTTAGATAGCATCACCATCAGGGGATAGCCTGACTTCTGATGTTGCTTTTTGTACTAGTTTTTTCAAGTGGTCATCGGGTCAGCCAACAGGGACATACTGATCTCCCTTTACAACAGAAAAATGAGACAATTAACTCTGCATTCATACCAAAAGAAGCACTTATAAAATTGAGTATGTGAAATTGAGTATGTCTCCCTTAGAGCGTCCCAGACCACAGGTATTCTGGGACATCCCTGCCATTTCTCTGCTCTTCTTGGCTGTCTTTGTAGAGCTTCTGTTCCCGGTAGCTCCGCAGGGCCAGTACCACACTGGCACTGTACATAATCACCAGGAGACAAGCAAAGGTGGCTGCTGCTCCGTCGGTGCCTGCCAACTGGCAGTTCATCCAGGTGAGACCCTTGCGGGCGTAGAGCCTCTCTCTTGTTTTGCAGGTGTCTGTGGAGTTGATCTGCAATGCCACATGGAGGTAAACGCCAATGCCTACGCAGTAGCCCACTGCTGCCAGGAGGCTGAAGGCGGCCTCCAAGAGGAGCCACTTTCTAGGCAGTTTTGTTAGGCTCTTGGCTCCTTGGAGTAAAATGCCCATGGTGAGGGCACCTAGCCCCAGAGAAACAGCCACACCGCCATATATCAGAGGCGCCCGGAGGACTGTATACTTCTGGTCCAGTTGCCGAACCTCCTCCAGCTCAGTGCCCTCAAATGGTGAGTAGTAGTTGTTTCCAAAGCCACCACCACTGGCAAAGCTGGCGCTGAATCCAGCAAGGACAAAGTAGGAGGCCACGATACACATGAGAACCATGCCGTTCAAAATCACCTCCACTATCTGTACCACACCTAGAGGAAGAGAGAGTCAAGGTAAAAACTGACATCACTCACCAGGTCACACTAGCGGATCTGCTGACCCAATTGTAAGAACATGGTCACATTCAACATCAATATTCTTGAATTGCTTGTGGTGGGTGGTTGTTTTAAAAATATGTTTGAAATATCAGAATGCCACTTTGAGAAATTTTAGGCTGTTCTTATAAATATTCCATACACATTTACCATGTAACCCTGTGACTGATAATGAGATTAAGAGATTTATCCTAAAGAAATGAATACTTTTGTCCACAAAAGAACACATACAGTAGTGTTCATAGTAGGTTTATTTATTATTTATTGGTGCTGGGGATTGAACCCAGGGCCTTGTGCATGTGAAGCAAGCACTCTACCAACTGAGCTATATCCCCAGCCCACAGTAGGTTTATTCATAATAGCCCAGTACTGGGAACAATCCCAATGTCCTTCAGTGGGTGAACAATTACACAGGTACACTCATGCCACAGAATGCACTGGTGAGCAATAAAAAGGAATGAGCTGTTGACATAGACAACAACGTGGACAAATCTCAAGGGAATTATGATAATCGAAAAAAAAGCCAGGCTCAAAAGATTACATACTGAGCCAGAGGAAAAGGAGATGGGTGTGGTTATAAAAACACCAGGGATGTCTGTGATGATTGGGCAGCTCTGGATGGTGGTGGTGGTAACCACAACCTACACGTGAAAAAACTGCATAATACACACATTGTTTATAGTTATGCAAGATGTAACATTGGGGAAAAATCAGGTTAAGGGCACACAGGCATTTCTCTGTACTATTTTTGTGACTTGTGAATATATCAAAATGAATTTTTTTTTTTTTGTGGTGCTGGGGATGTAAACCAGAGCCTTTTGCATGCTAGACAAGCACTTCACCACTGAGCTGCATCTCTAGCCCAGCATAAAAAGTTTTAAAAAACAACATAAGCATTAGCTGGGCACAGTGGTGCACACCTGTAATCCCAGTGGCTTGGGAGGCTGGGGCAGGAGGATCTCAAGTTCAAAGCTACTTTCAGCAAATTAGTGAGACTGTTAAAAAAAAAAAAAAGGTGGGGGAGGCTAGAGATGTGGCTCAGTGGTTAAGCACCCCTAGATTCAATCCTCACTACCAAAACCCTCTCAAAAAACAAAAACAAAAACAAAAACTTATACATAAACTGAGAAAGTCCATTCAAGTCTCTACACATGGTTCTCTATCCTTAACCACTTAAGTTTCCATTACAATTGTCCAGTGTTCCTTTATACAAATAAAAGCATACGCAAGTCTGCATTTCATCCCTTCTCTGGCTTTTTTCACAAAAGTGTACCATATTTGCAGGTCTGTATTTGCATTTTGCATTTACTATACCCTACCGCTCTCTCCACATCAGTTTCTACAGAATGACCACATTCTTTGTGCATGGCCTCCAACTCCATTGTATGGATGGACCAGTCTGTTCAACCAGATGGATCCTGATGGATACTTGGACTGTTCACTTAGTGGTGCAGAGTGGGGACAGTGGTTTTTTTTTTTTTAATATTTACCCTTTAGTTTTCGGTGGACACAACATCTTTATTTTATTTTTATGTGGTGCTGAGGATCGAACCCAGCTTCCTGCGCATGCCAGGCAAGCATGCCACAGCTTGAGCCACATCCCCAGCCCCGGGACAGTGTTCTTTGAAGTTTAAGGAATCCACAAATGCTGCAAGATAGTAAGAGCCAACAGAGACTGAATATCTTCTTGTCCGAGCTTAGTTTTCATCTGGTACCAACAGAGGTCCCAGACCCTTCTGAGGAGAATGTCTGTTATCATTTCCTTGGGATTCAGAGGTGAGAAAGAAGGGAAATGCAAATGGACCTGGAGTGGGAACACCAGGTTCAAGTCCCCACTGTTTCCTGCCTTGTGATATTGCCCATGTCATTCAGTCTTTCTAAGCCTCAGACACTTTACCTGACCAATGAAGACAAGGTTTCCAGTCTTATCCCACAAGGCTGTGGTGAGGACCAAGCACAGTTGGCCCTCCATACCTGCAGGTTCTGCATCTACAGATTAAACCAAGGATTGAAAATATTTGAAAAAAAATTTAACTGACTCTTTTCTTGTCATTATTTCCTGAACAATACAGCAAAAATGACAATTCCCATAGCATTTGCATGGGATTGGGGATTGTATTTTTTAAAAAATACTTATTTTTTAGTTGTAATTGGACACAATGCCTTTTATTTATTTATTTTCATGTGGTGCTGAGGATTGAACCCAGGACCTGGAACATGCTAGGTAAGCACTCTACCACTGAGCCACAACCCCAGCCCCTGGATTGTAATTAGTCTAGAGATGATTTAAAGTATACAAAGAATATGCATAGATTAGTTGCAAATACTATGCCATTTTATACAAGGGACTGGTACATCCTTAGATTTTGGTGTCCACGGAGGATTCTGGAACCAGCTCCCCGGTGCATACCAAGGGATGACTGTCTCTGAAAATCACAGGTTATTGTTTCTAAAATGTAAATTGGTGACAGGCTTAAGAAATGGGACAGATTTATTAAGAGTGTTGTTTCCAGAATTAAGACAACCATCAATGACATAGGTGGCACAGTGAAGTCTATAATCTGGGCAGGTAAAGGACATGGGCGACAATGGGCTTGCTATTCCTATCTCCTGTGGGCCCAAATTCCTGAAGGACCAAGAGACACAGAGTCATGCGCTCTCACTTGAGAAGCTGCATTCTTTTAATTTAAAAATCCAAGTAACATCAGACCCAAATTGCCCAAGATACAGGAAATATGACCATTTTCCTTCTGGAACAGATTCTTCCAAACCAGTGGAGTCCTGATCCATGTAGCACACATCTGCTGGGCTGAAATGGAATAAATCTAGCTCTTGTGAATCACCCTACTGACAGCAACAACTGAGAGGGATAACAGCTGACTTCTGGGTCTAATGATATTGGGTCTGTTGAAGGAATATGATCATGTATTATTGTTCCAGGAACCAGCCAAGCCTGAGCTGGCTTAGCTACCAATATCAAACAGGTTCAAGTATTTTTAAGCAAGCTGCTAGGGCAGAAAGAGACACAGGCACCAGAGAAATATGATAGGGATGACCACCAGAGATAGCTGTCACTTATATCCAAGTTGGGATGGAACAAGTGTTTAGAAAGACAGCAAAGAACTCTGTAGAAGTGTAGACTCAAAAACTCACAGATCTTTGCTATAAATAGCTTCTTTCTGGGTAAGGCTGTTTTTGTGGCTGGCCATTTAATACCCCTTAATCATATGTCTACTTCTGCCTTTGCACTATAAATTTAATTTTTAAAAAAACAAAAATGGAGGAAAGCAAATCCAATTTTTAAATTTTTTTATTTTTCTAAAATTAATATATGTTCAGACATGTATAAAATTAAAAATTAAAAAAAATCCCCTTCTTTCTACAAAACTGTTAATACTTTCTTATGTATTATTATTCAAGAAATTTGACAATCATACACATACATGTATCTGAACTTCCTTTTCTAAACTCAAACTTATCTTCTAAATGCAATAAACTGTCCTTATTCAAGAGAATGATATAAACATATTTTAAAGAGAACCATCATTTTGAAATTCAAATTTTTCTTTGGATTTTTTTGTTTGGATTCACATAAGCAAAGAATGGACTTGTACCAAGAATATATTGTAATGTTCCATAAGTCATTATTCCATGTGCAGTAAAAACCCATGAAGTTGTCTGGCCAAAAGCGACATTCTTCTGTTGGGAAGGATTATACATTCTTTTCTTCTGGATGGATCCTGAATTCCAGACCTCAGGTTTAATTCTTCATACAATGATACATTTAGGAGAGGTACAAAACACTTATTGAGTTTTCCAGCCATTGTGAGGGGCTTACAGAATAGCTTCTTTGCAACCCAGTGAGTTAACTGACTCCTCTTTGCTCAGCTCATGCCCACTTGCAACTTAAATTTTCCAGGGGTAGCTCTTCTAGAAGCCCTGCCCCCTTTTCCTGGTGAACTGTGGCAGCGGAAGGACTATGGGCTATCTGCTGAAGACAGCTGTGTCCAGAACAGTTCAGGCTAAAGTTGTCTCCTGCCTCTGTGACTTTTGATGAACTCTGAAGATAAGGTACTTTCAATTTGCTTGGTTATTTCCCCTCATTTAATCAAGAACTATACTTCTTTCTCTGTCTCTTTTAGTACTGGGGAATGAACCCAGGGGTGTTTTACCACTGAGCTACATCCTTGGTCCTTTTTCTTTTATTTTGAGACAGGGTCTCACTAAGTTGTGAGACTGGCTTTGAATTTGCAATCCTCCTGCCTCAGCCTCCAGAGTTGCCGGGATTACAGTGTGTGCCACTATGTACCACATGCCTTTCCCCTGTGAGTCCTGGATTCCAGGCTTTATTTATTTATTTATTTTTAAAAAATAATTTTGGTTAGGGGGCTGGGGTTGTGGCTCAGTGGTAGAGCGCTTGCCTAACATATGCAAGGCACTGGGTTTGATTCTCAACACAACATATAAAAATAAATAAATAAAATAAAGATCCATCAACATCTTAAAAAAATTTTTCTTTTGGTTACTCCCTCAATAACAGAGGATTCCAAAATCCAAAGTTGGTTGTGCCAAAGAATGCTGCTTCACACAACTGGGAGCTAAGCCCACCTCTACTGAAGTTGGCTTGCTACTTTTGAAGTTCTGGCAAGTTTTACAACAAAGAATTCTTACAAAAGATGGTAGTTCAGAGTATTTTCCATCACTTATATTTGGTAGAATGTTTTAAGAAGCCTAAAACACCAACATTTCTGGAGGCTTCTCTTTCAGTTTCTTGACTTTTAGGTAACCCCTGATGGCTAGGACAGCTCCCACGGCAAAGACCCCAATACCCAGGGCTGCGAAGACCCCAACTCCTATATCTCCACCATGGAAACTGCAGCTGAAGCCACTGTACCCTTTGCTTTGGTACAGTGCTTCCCTCTCTTTACACACAGGCG